ATTGTCTTTTCCAAATACTTTTGAATTTTCTCCTTGAGGAGAGGGAGAAGCCGGATATCTGCCCATCTGTGGTTTTGGATAACATGGCCCAGTTTTGAGCCAATTTATCCTGCAATGAGTCAAAGAGAGGTGCTGAACAGGATGGCGATGCATGAGCAGGAGAGGTGATAAGAGGTTCCCAGTGAACAAGTATGAAATGTACAGGGCAGCAAAAATTAATAGTTTGGGAGGATGTGGTGGGTGACGGCTCTTGATTGAACATGACGCACACAATAGTGAGAGCTGTGGTCTGTGAATCTTAGTGAGATAAGTGTGTAGTGGCAGGACTGGAGCGAATGGTGGCTCTGTGAGTGAGGTAATAGTGAGAAGACTTGCTGTTGTGGAGGACAGAAGATCACTGACTGATTTCCTGATCTGCTGGGTATCCCTCTTTACCCGGGGCACAGTACTGATTCAGGCTACTATCTAGGTACAGGCAGATTTGTTTCAGTGGTGTGACATCCTCTGGTGGTCAGTTGGAAAAAGAAACCCCCCCCACTATGGCCATACTACCTCTTTGTGGGCCCTGTTTGTGTAATGGTGCAAACTTTCTTTCTGCGCTATAATAGTTCAACACCATAGTGTAAGGGGCAGTTCCAATTTTGCAGCATCTGAAGTCGTGTACTGCTTTAAATGTGATCCAGTGACTTAAACACTGCAAGGTCTCGGCAGTGATAATCTCTTCTGCCTTTCCTGCTGTGTAATTCTGCAAGAAGAACATTGAAAGCCTGTTTGCGTAATTAGTGAGGTATAAAGAGAAAGATTATACAAGGAAAGTCACTCCAAGCCATGAAGTGCACCACGAATCTCACTCAACAAAACACTCACTGTACATTGGAAAGGAGCTTACATTAAATTTCAGTAGAACACTGTAGCAGGCCCTGTATGTAAAGAATGCATGGGGTTAAGTGAGATTAATGACAAGCATTAGGAAACTTGGACTTGAGTTTACAGACTAAATGGAGGTACTCCACAAAGCTGTCACCCAGTTCATGGTTGGTCTCCACAGTGTACAGGAGACCATGTAGTGAGTTGTGCATGCAGGCCATTAAATTGAAAGACCAGAAGATTAAATAAAAAGAATATTCACTTGTGGAATGTGGGTGTTGTTGGCTGGCCACATTTATTGCCGGTCCTAGATGCCCTTGAGAAGGTGATGGTGAGCTGCCTTCTTGAATTGCTGCAGCCCACATGCTATAGGTTGACCCCAATACCATTAGGAAGGAGCAGAATTAGGCTACTCAGCCCATCAGCTCTGCTCCACTATCGGATCATGGCTGAAAGAACCACATGTAAATCACTGCTTCACTTGGAAGTGTGTTTGGAGCTTTGGACACTGGTGGTGGTGGTGGTGGTGGTGGTGGTGGTGAGGTGGCCGGAGGTGTGGGGGGGTGGGCAGAGAGAGAGAGAGAGAGTGAGAACCAGACAGAGGGAGACAGGGAGGGAGAGGGAGAGGGAGTCACAAGGAAACTCAGGAATGGAATTCTGTTCGAGTGTTGAAAGTGGAGGGCAGGTAGTAGAATAATACTGGAAACAAAGCAGTAAAATTTGTTAAACACGGAGGCTGTTGGGTGAAAGATGAAGACAAGGTGAACTCTATCAATATTCTGGAGGAAAAGGAAAGGAGAAAATTGAACAGGGGCCTGTCAACCATGCTGGGTGGGAATCTTAGCTGAGGAAAATAAGATATTTCAGAATTGCTTCAATGGAACAGAATCACTGTAACAGCTGCAATAAAAACATAGAAATCAGGAGAATGGAATAGAGCCTTTAAGGGAAGCAGAACATGAGGAGGTAGTGTTGAGGTATCCGTGGGAGTTTATAGTAAACAATAATAGATAGTCTATCTCCCAAAATGGAGAAAAGCCAACGACAGGAATGGAAGAGTCAGACATGGACCAGGTAAAGGTGAAGAAAAGTTAAAGTTAAAAGAAGTCAATGGGATTTTCCATTTCATGGTGGGAACAGGAGGTGACACCAAAACAATCAAAAAGAGATGAGGAAGGGTGACCCCAAGTGCAACTGGAATAATGAATATTGCACTATCCCACAAACAGGCAGGTATGACTAGCACCCATGGAGGCCCATGATTTGTCAATAATGAGAAGGCTACAGGCACATGGGAACATCACAACCTCTAATTCATAATATCTTGACTTGGAGATTATATCACCATTCCTTTGGTGTTGATGGCTCAAAATCCGAGAACATCCTCTCTAATAACACACAGACTGGAGCAGTTGCTAGAGTAATTAGAAATGGGGAATATAGAGCATAAAGCATCCACCATATTCAGACCCATTTTTTTGAATTGCAGGAGAAAGAAATTGATTATGCCAATAAGATGAGATGGAGAGGGCTAAATGAAGGTTCATGCAGCAAAGACAAGTTGCGTCAAATGCCTTTTGCTGTGTTGTAAATTCTATGCAATTTCGTGTACATTTAGTTTTGTCTCAGCTTCTTTATGATGGTTTTAGTTTTGGTACCATGGCAGAGTGCAATTCGGCCAATCAGGGAATACACTCTTATTTGGATAGTCAAGGTTCCATGTGTGATGTTTTGATACAGTTCCTACTCTACGACGTTGATACAGAATAACCTTATCAGGCAACAATGCACTGATGGGGTTTGGGACAGGAGTTGAAACTCCACATTCCAAAAAAACCCACTAAATCAGCAACTGTTCTCATTCTTTAAGAAAAGAACCATTTCAGTCAGAAACTTCAATTTTTATGTGAGTTTATTCATATATTTTGCAGATTTGCTGTTTGTAAAGATGAATGACTGAACCAATGCCAAGAGAACCAGGTTTTCAAAATCATTTCTAGATTAAGAAAACCACATTTGAAGATATGTGAAAACAACAGAAAGGCATTCAGCATTATTAAAACATGTTTGGTGTACATTTGCTCATTGAGAATATGCCATTATTTTGAATGGCCTTGGTGAGTACGCACAAAGCACTGAGAGACTACCAGAGTGGCAAGGATGTGAAGAAGAATAGCTTCTTGAAAGCTGGCTGCTTTCCCTTAACACCAAGTCACAACTTCACCGGAGGTAACCGTCAAAACTTTTCATTTCTTATGCACTACTGTGCTGATGTAGATTTCTAGGAGTTCATGTACAGAACTTCTAAGACAATCTTCAACAATTAAAAATGGGCTAAACATTTTTCCTTTGAAAGGGAACTTGTTCACAGTTCTATAATCCAAGATGGAGCGCTTTTACAGACTACAAAATAATGAATTAGAAGCTCATTCATCACCTGGTCACAAGACACATTTTCTACAGTTTAGGTGCAATAAATCCTTTAGGTGGAGATTGCACATTTTTGTATGAAGCAAGTGCATTAGGTAGTGATGTACTGCCATAACTGGCCAGAGGCTGGCAGTTTCTGGATCCTAATGTCTGCCAGTCAAAGACTGCTGCAGGGGTGATCAAGTGGTGAGAAGATAAGTTTAAAATTTTTCTTGCCCCCACATTGTGGTAATTGGAAGACTTCTCCCCTAACTTGACAGACAGGTCATCAATGTTTCCCAGTCAGGAAACTAGCCACCTTCTTGCATCTTCTTTTAAAAATTTTCTTATGGGACGTGGGCGTCATTTATTGCCCATCTCTAATTGCTCAGAGGGCAGTTAAGAGTCAACCACATTTGGGATCTCATGTAGGCCAGACTAGGTAAGAATGACAATTCTTTTCCCCCAAGGGATATTAGTGAACCAGATGTGCGTTTCCCAGAATGGACAGTGTTACACCGGGGTCTCTGGATTAGTAGTCTTGCAATACTACTACCAGGCCACTGACTCCCAGGGGGGCAAGTGACAATTTAAGGCCCTTAAATGGACATTAATCAACCAGTTAAGCACCTCAATTGCTAGCAAGTTCAGAAAGTCTTTTTTCCTCTCGGACAAACTTGTCCAATTATTTCCCCTGTTGGCCACTCCTAGGGATTGGGAAATTTCACCTAAAATGTCAACACCTGAAATAACTTAGCTCCAACCAGTCCATATGCAAATCATCTTTGATTCCATTTGGACAAAAGAAAGACTTGCATTTATATACCACTGTCCCCAGCTTCAGGTCATTCAGTGAAACACTTCTGAAGTATGGTCATTGTTGTAACATGGTACCTTGCTGTCATGTTTCCTACAAAACAACGTGATAATGACCAGAAAATTTACTTTCTTTGAACTGATGCTGGTTAAGGAATACATAATAAATAAGTTACTAGAAATAACTCGTCTGCTCTTCTTTGAAGTAGTGCCAATGGGATATAAAAGGTGACTCATTTAAAAAATGCAGTGCTCCCTCAGTATAGAACTGAAACTTCAGCTAAAATTTTATGCACAAGTCTCAGGAGGTAGAAATGAACCCACATCTTTGACTTGGATGAGAAAGGGCTACCATTTGACCTATGGTTAACAGCTATAAAAGAAACATGAAAGATGCTAATGTTACACTTCTTCATTCCGTTCCAGCTCAAAAATTATTCAGAGAATCAAACCATTAAATCTTTTTCTTTAAAAAATATGCCTGATGGCACTGGGACTCCCCTACTCAGTACAATTGCACGTAAACTCTACATCTTGTATGCAAAACTAATCATACTAGAGTAGTTAGTGCATTTGTGGACACAAATCCTAGAATATCCCCCCTATTTCCTACTTTCCTGAGCAGAGAATGCTCCTCGACTAAATACACAGCACTTTTTAAGTAGTTGCCTGTGATAACTAAATCAAACAGTTTGGTTGTGTTCAATGTAATGATTGAAATTTGGAAAGTTATCTATTACCATTGTCACCCAGGATAATATCTGGGAGGAAGATGAAGATTTAACAAGATAGTAAATGGCTTTACCTATCTAGGAAAATTTCAACACAATTAATTCAAGACTTTTAAGCACTGATATTCAATTACAATGTTGTAATGTAGTAGGAAACAAAAAAAACCCCCAGCAAACCTTGTGTCCAGATTGTTTTCTTCTTAAGCACTCCATTAAAAGTGTTGATAGGATGCCCTCCATTTTCATTTCAGAGACACTGAAGAAACAGAAAATTAAATATCACACATCTTTTCCACTGACAGCTAGTAGTGATGTAGTACAGTTAAAGAGAGATTTAATTACCTAAGAGGTGTGTATGCATGGGGATTTAAGAAAAGAAAGGAAGGGGTTCATCTGACCATTATGGCAGGATGGTTTTGCAACAAACCCATTATTATACCATCATCAAAAGAAGCACTGTGCCTCCACGTTTGCTTCAAAGTGGTATCAATCTTTTATTTTACATTTATTTTTCAGTAACACTGCCAAGTATCACACTGCCAGAAGGTTACAAAGATCATTTTTGTGAATGTATCCCAAATTTCAATAGAAATCATGCATCTTTCTATATTGTCTCCCATTTCATATTCATCTTGTCTCTTCACTAGGTTACCCTGGACCACTCTTCAGTTGAGAAGGAAGAAAACAATTATCTCCCAGACTTGACTGGATTCCAGAATGGACTGGTGACACAAATTTCCCAATTCTTGCCTCACCTCTCACTGAAATAAAGCTTAAATTTTTTTTCTGACCCTCCATGAAACTGCTACAATTCTCTACTTTGACAGGAAGAGCAGGAACTTGTGCCTATGTGCAGAAAACATTACAGTTTCACTCTCCAAAACTCAACTGTGAATGTCTGAGTGACAGAATAGTCAAACAACTAAACTCATTTCTGATTCGTACAAAAATTCAACATTTTAAGCCACAAATTTATATGGAAGTAACTCATTTTCCATAGCTCCTTTTGCTGCTTGTACGGTCTGAATCAGTCATTTTTGCACAGTAATCTATTGTTGGCTAGTCTGTGGTTAGAACTGAAGATTTGATCTTCACTGCAAAGAAGTTTTGGGAATTCAGGGCCCAGCTCCAATTTTCAGTATCTCATTAATATTTGGGACACACATTCATAAATATGGTACTCCTCAAAATAGAGCTGCCAGTTTTTATTTCTAAACTTAGATATGGGAGCCCAGCTGTACCACACTATCGTACGAACCTCACCATATCAAGTTGGGTTGGTGAGACAGCAACAGCAAAGTGCTAGATTAGTTCATTACTTCCCTTCAGGGAAGGAAATCTACCAATCCTTTCCAGACTAGAGAAACCCTGCAGAGGTCTGGCAGCTTCTGTGGAGACAGAACAAAGTGAATGCTTTGAGTCTGATAGGACACTTCTTTGGAATTGTCTTCATGTGAATCTAATTTTCACAATGATCGTTTTATGATTCATGTTTAAGGATACTGTTATGATCCTGACAGAAGAGTTCGCTGGAATCTAGGCTCACTACTCCATAAGTTGGATCAAAAGTGTAAATGTCTTATTTAAAGTGAATCACTATTCTGGCATGTTGAATACAATGTGAAGGAAATAGTGAGCGTGACAAGGGTGCAAAATGTACCCCAAGTGGGGAAATTCAGTGTCAATCACCAAACATGGCTCAGTAGCACTCCCTGATTTATTGCAATGATCAAAGCTTGGGCTTCAACTCATCAATTTGGAGATGAAGTTCCTCAAACAATAGACACCTGCTGTCATGGATCACGCAGGTATTCTCCAGCTCCTGCATGCTACAGCTGTTGTACATCACTTGCCCTGCCATCTTGATGTTGTTTGTATTTAACAACCTGGGTTTTAAATTTAGAATAACACTCAATGATTATCTGTAGATATCGTATGAAGTTTGCTTCATAACCTGTTGTGCTATCAAATTAGTATAATACTTAAATAAAAGCAAAATACCACAGAGCTGAAAATCTGAAATAAAGAGAGAAAGTGGTGGAGGAAATCTAAGGAGAGAGAAAAGGAGTTAATGTTGAGTCTGATTTGTGACCTTATTATTTAAGAAAGGTAGTAAGGAAAAGCTAGAGAACTATAGACCAGTGAGCGTGATGTCAGTGGTGAGTAAGTTGTTGGAGGGGATTCTGAGGAGCAGGATTTACATGTATTTGGAATGGCAAGGACTGATTAGGGATAGTCAACACGGCGTTGTGCATGGGAAATAGTGTCTCACTAACTTAATTGAGTTTTTTGAAGATGTGACAAAGAAGGCTGATGAAGGCAGAATGGTGGATGTTGTCTATATGGACTTCAGCAATGCAGTCGACAAGGTTCCATTAGGTCACATAGAATACGGGGAGAGCTAGCTATTTGGATACAAAATTGGCTCAAAGGTAGGAGACAGAGGGTGGTGGTGAAATGTTGGTGTTGGACTGGAGGCCTGCCGCAAAGATTGGTGCTGGGTCCACTGCTTTTTGTCCTTTATATAAATGATTTGGATGTAAATATAGGAAGCACGGTTAGTCAGTTTGCAGATGACACCAAAATAGGTAGTGTGGTGTAGTGGAAAGCAAAGAAGGCTCACCCCAGAGTACAACAGGACCTTGATCAGATGGGCAAATGCGCAGAAGAGTGGCAGATGGAGTTCAATTTAAATAAATGTGAGGTGCTGCACTTTGAGAAGACAAATCAGGGGCAGGACTGATATACTTAATGTTAAGGTCCTGGGAAATCTTGCCCAACAAAGAGACATTGGGGTGCAGATGCATTGTTCCTTGAAAGTGAGTTGCAGGTAAACAGGATAGTGAAGGCAGCATTTGGTATACTTGCCTTTATTGGTCACTGCATCGAGTATAGGAGTTGAGAGGTAATGTTGTGGCTGTACAGGACACTGGTTAGGCCACTTTTGGAACATTGCATTGAATTCTGGTCTCCCTGCTATAGGAAGGATGTTGTGAAACTTGAAAGGGGTCAGAAAAGATTTACAAGGATGTTGCCAGGGTTGGATGGTTTGAGCTACAGGGAGAGGCTGAACAGGCTAGGGATATTTTCTCTGGAGTGTCGGAGGCTGAGGGGTGACCTTATAGAGGTTTATAAAATCATGAGGGGCATAGGTAGGGTGAATAGTCAAAAGTCTTTTCCCCAGGGTAGGGTAGTCCAAAACTAGAGGGCATAGGCTCAAGCTGAGAGGGGAAAGATTTAAAAGGGACCTAACTGGCAACTTTTTCCTGCAGAGGGTGGTGCATGTATGGAATGAGCTGCCAGAGGAAGTGGTGGAGACTGGAACAATAACAACATTTAAAAGGCATCTGGATGAGTACATGAATAGGAAGGGTTTAGAGGACTATGGGCCAAATGCTGGCAAATGAGACTAGATTAGTTTAGATATCTAGTCAGCGTGGATGAGTTGGACTGAGGTGTCTGCTTCCATGCTGTACATCTGTGATTCAATGGTTCTGCATAATGGATGTATCATATCCATGTAATAAATCATTCAATACATAATACTGGGGTCTCCCCATATTGGTTTTAACTACTGTTCCAGTTTAGATAGAAAGAGATTAAAAAAAAACAACTTACAAATGAACTACCTACACACTCACTCAACACTTCCACCCTTCAGCTCTCAGGTCTTGCTGCATCTGGCTCCCTCTCAGGCAACTCTGTTTGTAAAAGGCCAGAACAGCACTTAAACCTTCACTTACCAAATTCCCGGATTTAAGCACTCTACTGCACCGCATTCAGTGTCTAGCTGCAGCTTTGTCTGAATAAATGTATGCTCTGTTGCTATTCTGTCATCCCCTCATATTCCTTTTTTGACTCTCATGTCCTTGTTTCCCATTTGATCAGTATTTTTATTTCTTTTCCTTCTGTTATTGTTTTTTTTTTCTTAGTTGCAGATTGCCCTTTTTTCTTCTTCAACTCTAAACTATCAGATTGTTCTGAATCCACATTTCTTCTCTAACAGATCAGGGTACACTTAAGTGAAATGTACTGTGTGACAATTTTTTTGTGAAAGGTTAATGAAAACATCATGGATTAAAATGGTGGGGAGGGGGGGTAATAGTGATAGCACTGATCATTCCATGCCATTCTCTCCTGGCAACCCGCCAAGCACCAATCTCCAAGATGTTTGAACTGAATCACAGCAGGAAGCCATCATCCAAGTGCCCGTGCCAGGCTGAAGCCACACTTGTCTTATTGAATCAGTGAATGAGCAATCATAGAGCAGAGAAATTGCAAGGCTGGCTGTGGAGCTTCTGTGAGCAGTTCACAAACAGAACATGATGTACGTGATACAGCAAAAAAGGTAGTGTGGGGGTGGGGAAAGAGAGTGCAAAATAAGCATACACTACAACAATTTTCAAAATTATACTGAATCTAATTGTAAATTCAAATCTATCACAATTATAAAATTAAAATGCTTCCGAAAATGGGAAGACAATTGCAAAAAAGTGCTGTTTCTCAAATGCCATGCAAAAAAGATTTTTAATTGTAATTTTGATTAAATTGTTAATTAAAAATGGTCACAGGCTATCCTGACCAGTAATAAGTGCAGCCTGAGGCAAAAAGCCAATGGCACTGACAGCAGCAGGATAGCAGGTGGTCTATTCTATTGACCTGCTCATCCTTCTTCCTGATTGGAGGAAATATGAAAGCAAGGCAGGAGTCCAGATTATTCAGTTGATTTATGTATTCTCCTGCAATAAAACTTTCATCTGAACAGGAAATGCATATGTGCCTTTAAATCTGCGTAAAAAGCAAATTTCCAGATAAAACCATCAACTCCAGGTCATTTAACATATCAGTTCAAGTGTCTGCAAACCGTGCATCCCATCTTCCTACAACAGATGCTTAAAGTGTACATCGGCTAACCACCATATCTTGATTTCTGTTCTATTCTACTCAGTACTTGTGGTGGTCTGCATTATTGACTTTACTCTTCGCTTTTTTTTTTTAAAATGAAGGAAGACACTTCTACCAGTTATCTAACATTCAAGCACATTATTTACTTATTGAAGCACACACTGGTGCACTTTTACACAAATCCATGTACAACTGTCTACATACATTGCTCCTCCAAGCTGGAGTTTCAGTGATTTACATACGCAAATTTCTTAGGTGAATAGAAAGTGGAACAGGCAACCCTTCTGCAAGAGTGAAAACAGATCACACCAAACAGCTTGCAAAATCCTCACTGATATACAGAAGTCATATGTGACATTTTAGGTTTTATAACATATCATTTACAATATTTTGTCAGTAATTCAATGTTGTTACTATACTAATTATTCATACGAAATTGTGCTCCTTACTCCCTCCATGTCAATGAATCAACTTAAACAGTTCTTTGTTTGTGAATTGAAAGCAAGTTAACTCAAGACAAGTAAACACGCCACTCCCCATAAATACCAAGTTTTGTGCACACTCGTCTGTTTTATACAAATTACTTGAATCAGAAATTCCATTTCACCCTTTCAATAGATTTTGGCACTTCTCAAAAAAATTGAAAGAACGTAACAGAATTCTGCACCTAAACTGCAGATACTCAGAAATTAAATGGGAAACAACATTTCAAAAGCACCCTAGAAAGAAACAGAAGCATGTAATCTCAGACCAGCCGGATAAACTTTACTGATAGTAGCAAAGTACCAAAGTTATTAATGATAAACTTATAAAATATGTTCAGAATAGGTGGTTTGGGTATTTTTAATCAGTTTGCAGCAGGTATTATCCACACTAAACATTGAGGAAAAAGAAACTCAGCAGCTACACATTAAAAACAGACTTGCAGTTATATCAGAGCTTTCATAGTCAGAAGTCACACGACGCTAGGTTACAGTCCAACTGGTTTATTTGAAATCACAAGCTTTCGGACCACTGCTCTTTTGTGGGAAATCGGCAGCCATTTTGCCATTGCAAGCTCTCCCAGTCGCTGAATGTAAGCATGCGGGTGCAGCAGGCAGTAAAGAAGGCAAATGGTATGTTGGCCTTCATTGCAAGAGGTGTCAAGTACAGAAGCAGGGACGTGTTGTTGCAGTTATACAGGGCCTTGGTGAAGCCACAGCTAGAATATCTTATGCAGTTTTGGTCTCCTTTTCTGAGGAACGATGCTCTTGTTCTTGAAGGGGTGCAGCAAAGGCTTACCAGGCTGTTTCCGGGGATGGTAGGTGTTGACAAATGAGAGATTGACTAGGTTGGGATTGTTTTTGCTAGAGTTCAGACAAATGAGGCGGGTATCTCAGAGACTTATAAAATTCTAACAGGGTAGATGCAGGGAGGATGTTCCCGCCAGAATCAGGGGTCACAATAAGAGGATTCGGAGTAAACGATTTAGGACGGAGAATAGGAGACATTTCTTCACCAAAAGAGTGGTGAGCCTGTGGAATTCATTACCACTGGAAGTAGTTGATGCCAAACCATTGAATGTATTCAAGAGGTGACTAAATAAATCACTTGGGGTGAAAGGGATCAAAGGTCATGGGGAGAAAGCAGAATTAGGCTATTGAATTGGACGATCAGCCATGATTGTGAAGAATGGTGGAGCAGGCTTGAAGGGCTGAATGGCCTCCTCCTATCTTCTATGTTTCTATATAATCTGATTGTGTTGTTTGGTTCGGAGGGAATAAATAGTGGCCAGAACACCAGGGATAATGTCCCGCTCTTAGAAATCAAGCCATGGGATCTTTTGCATCCACCTGAGTGCAGTTTAGTATCTCATCCAAGATAGTATTTCCAGCTCACTCAACACTACACTCGAGTGCCAGCCTTGACTTTTGTGTCCAAATCGTGGACTGAGACATGAACTCACAACATTTTAACTCTGAAGCAAAAGTACTATTTAACTGAACCATTGCAGAGTCCTGTAAAACATGTAAAATGATAATGATACAATTATTAAAAAAGTCCATTTTAATTATTTATTCCATATTTGTTTTTGACTGTAATTATATATTTTTATATGTTGTCCTTTATGAATAAAATAGATAATTGAAAAAAATGCATTGTTATCAGTGTCACAACAAACATCACAAAATTTTGTCATGTGATTCTTGACCTGGGGCAAATAAAAGTCTAATTTCAAAACATTAGTCACCAGCTAGGACACAAAACAGAAAGCATGGTGAATTACAGCAGCATAGAACAAAAGTCATTGCCTGTATCTATACCCAGAGTAAGTAGCTCGTCCCAGAGTAAGTAGCTCGTCCCAGAGTAAGTAGCTCGTCCCAGAGTATCACTACAAGGAGTCACGGAAAGGAAACCAGGAACTTTCCCTCAAGTACAGAGTTTAAGGTACCTTGGGTGTTAACAAATGTCATTTCAAAATATTGCATATAGTGATGTGAAAGCAGGATATTTGGCTGCTTCAGGTGAAACCAAGAGGACTAATGGAGAAAAATACTTTAAAAAGCAAGGAGCCTTTACCTTCAAACCACAAAAATGAAGCCTAATTAGATCAAGATATTGGACAAGTCCACAACATTTATAAGTAATGTATACAAGATGAAAAAGGAATTTTCAAATTAAAGGAAAAAACTTAGGAAATCCTTCTTCTGAAGGTAAAACAGATTACTTAACTTTTCCCACTGCAAGATAGATGATCCTCCGACTTGATCTTCACTTTAATAAAAGTTACAAAATGGAGCTTAAGCACTTTAAAGTGCACTGTAAACGTAGACAAGTTAGGCAGCAAGCCCATGACAGCTGAGCTGATGATCAGTGCTGGGAAACATACACACCTGACTCAGTAAATGAATGAACGGACAGTGATAGCTGATGAATTGCACCAATGATCCATAAAGGCAGTTTGCAGCATGGTGCAACACACGCCATCAAAATAAATTGCTGTCCAGTATTATAAACAGAGTATTATGGAGACAGCTCTGACAATTTAATTTAAGTTTTGGGCCAAAAACCCAGTGTGCAGTTTTTTTCTGACTAGTAGAGAGGACAGTAAGAATGTATTTAAAGGATTTGCAGTTTGCAATACAAATGCTTCAGGTTAGAGGCTGACCAATATTAATATAGGATTCCTCATTAAGCAGGAGTTTATCAAGCCATGTTACAAAACAATTTAGGAGTACTGGTGCAATTGCCTTTCAGTAAATACACATGTTTTGCAGCATGATTTTATTGATCTCCAAAGTACACTTTTGATACAAATTTACTGAAACAGTGCTATATTGGACTTCTGTTATTGATAGTCTAAATTTGGCAAAACTAGTAGTTTTGTTATTTATCAATCCCATTCCACAGATAAATCTTTCTAATTCTAATTTTGTCTTTCAAAATAAGAAAGGGTTGCCAGGCAGTGCAAAAGTATGCAACTCAATGGAGTTCAAGGGCACAAAGCAACATCTACTATTTAAGGAGTAATGAACATCTAAGTCAGAATAGTCATTTGCAACAGAACTAAACCTAACCTTGACTATGTTCGTTTGCCACAGTCCCATGTCCAACCTGGGTTCTATACCTACTTCAATTCTCAATAAAAGTCATATTTGACAGAGCCATTTGTTTCTTACTCCACACATACTGCTAGACTTGCTGAATATCTCTATTACTTTGCTTTTATTTCAGATTTCCAACATCGACTGTATCTTGCTTTTACTCCCACATTCTACTTTTCTTTTAGATTCAGACGGACTTAGACACTGAATTCAGGATGTATTTATTGAACTGCAATATAATCACAGGTACAATTCTCAATTCTAAGATGGTCCATTATTTGAGCTTGTTGCTATCGTTATCAAATTGGAGAAGTTTCAATTATTTTCTAGTTTTAATTTTTCGAACAATTAACTAAATGCTGGGTATTACATTGTAACCTTTGTGGGTAACATTGGCATGAACAAGGTTAGAGAAACTACAACCAAAATTTACTTGTGCCTAACTTAAATATTTGGCATGGACAATAATGTCAAAGTGAAAGCAAAACTATTTTCTGTCACATTTACTTTAAAAATTAACCAAAACACAAACAAAACAAATCTGCCTGGAAACTTCTTCCATAGTTGCAAATCAATGTCTCAAAAAAGTACATTGTTTCTACATGTAAGGATTCAAAATAGGGCATCACTGTCGCCTCACAGCACCAGCGACCCAGGTTCGATTCCGCCATCGAGTGACTGTGTGGATATTGCACACATTCTCCCCATGCCTGTGTGGGGGTTTCCTTCGGGTGCTCTGGCTTCCTCCCACAATCCAAAGATGTGCAGGTTCGATGGATTGGCCATGCTAAATTGCCCATAGTGTCCAGGGATGTGTAGGCTAGAGGAATTACCCATTGGAAATCCAGGGTTACAGTGCTGGAGGGTGGGGTGGGGTGTGTGTGTGTGTCTTTGGAGTTGCGTGTGGACTCAATGCTTCCATACTGCAGGGATTCTTTAGCTAAATTTATTTCAACTATTAATTTAATCTACTGAGAATGCTATGTTATCTCTTCAGATGAGCTTCAGTGGACAAAGACAGTTGATTTGAATAGTGACTTAATTATTCTAAGTTTCCAACTAAATCTCATCCTGCTTTAAGTTATTATACAGCAGAATCTGAATCTCTACAATACTAACCACAAGACTGCTGAAAGGTTAACAAGTAAAACTTTTCGAAGATAAAGTAACAAACAACAGAAAACCACAGCAGTATAACTTCAGAAAAGTGTATTCATTCCTTATTCTCTGACATGACTGACCTGATTTGGTGAGATGCAAGCACCTTTGCATATTCTGCTTCAGAGGGAGTGAGGAAAAGAAGACTGTTTCCACAGGACCCAATTCGGGCTGTCCGTCCTACTCTGTGAACATATTCTGCAGGCAAGGTCGGAGCACAATACTGAAATATGGAAAAGAGGAGAAAATAGCTTCTAGTATACTTATTCCATTCATCCAAACAAGGCTCCTAAAATGAGGTTAAAGCTTTCTATTTTTCTGAAAAATGGGAGAAATTTCTATAGGCCTGTAGCTACTTTTCACACTTTCCAGGTAGAAAATTGGATACTGCCATTATAATGACAAGGTGAGTGAAGTATCAGGACTTGAATTATCAATTTACTTATTTTTAATTTGTTCTATGATCTGCCCTTAAATATTGGACAAGTCCACAATATTTATAAGTAATGTGTACCAAGGAAAGAAGTCATTTGGTACACTTGAATTTTGCCATATCTCTGAAAGAACTATCCAATTAGTCTCACTCTCCCATTCTTTGTCATAATCCTGCAGTTTTCTTTTTCAAGTATATATCCAATTTCTAACCCACATGTACAACATTTCCATGCCAGTAATTACAATATCACACTCAAATAGGTAACTATGCTTAAGTACTAGGAATCCTTTAGTTTAAAGGGAATTCAGTGGTTAACCAGATAAGCTGAAAAATCAACATTTGTCTGAGCTGAAACAATTTTTGTCCCTCAAAGGAAGCAGATACTGGACCTCATTATGAAGTTGAGGAGTTGGGAGATAAGAAGACGTTGAGTACTACAGATGAACAGGTAACAAGGTGGAGTGATTGAGGGTCAGCTGGAAAGATGTGTAATATGTTAAGTTGTCCACTTATATGACACTAAGCCCTTGTGTGCTAGGTTGGTGTTGGGGGTTTGCATGTGGCGGGGAGTGTGTAGGGGGTGTTTAATAACCTTCTGCTTGTCATCTGTGTGAGCAATACTTCTTTCTTGAAGTCTGACGTGGACAAGTCTTTTAACTGATTATAGCAAGGATGTGGAGGTGCCGGCATTGGACTGGTCAAAAATCATACGACACCAGGTTATGGCCCAACAGGTTATTTGAAAACACCTGCTTTCGGAGTCTTGCTCCTTCTTCAGGTGTTAGTGAGAGAGGTGGCATCAGACACAGAATTTAGAAGCAAAAGATCAAAGGGTCATAGAACTGATGCAGATGTATTGAACAAACCTAAAATGGCTGTAAAATCTTTAATCAGTTAGAAAGGGAATGCAGATTTTGATTAATATACAAATCCCAGAATTTCTTTCAAGTCACTGCCACGAGATAACTAAAGGTTTTAATAGTATACCAGAGGTGATATCCCAGGTCAGACAATGCCTTTTAGGTGTGAGACCTGTTTAGAATCTGGTTGTGTGTTTTAACTTGGAGTCAGACTAGTCTTATTTCCAAAGTAGGAATTTATAAAATGCCACACTGTCTATAAATCATGTGCACAGACACACATACTCTTCTCTCTCTCTCTCACACACACACACACACACACACAGGGTGAATTTGCATTTGCAGATACATTCTATTTTGTTCAAAAAGCACATAACTTGTAGACAGTCAATGTGGCATTTTATAAATTCCAGCGTTGGAAACAAAACTAGTCTGACTCCAAGTTAAAACACTGAGACTCCAAACAAGGCCTCACTCCTAAAATGCATTATCTGACCTGAGATGTCACTCTAGTATACTCATAAAGCCTTTAGTTATCTCGGGGCGGTAACTTGAAAGAAATTCTGGGATTTGCATATTAACTCAATCAAAACTTGCATCTTCTTTCTAACTGATTAAATATTTAACAGCCATCTTAGGTTTTTTTAAGACATCTGCATCAGTTCTACAACCCTTTGATCTTTTGCTTCTAAATTCTGTGCTTGATGCCACCTCTCTCACTAACACCTGAAGAAGGAGCGAGACTCCAAAAGCTTGTGTTTTCAAATAAACCTGTTGGACTATAACCTGGTGTTGTGTGATTATAGCAAGAACCTCAGTAACTCAGAAACAAAGGTCAGAATGGTCTGTATCAAAAACGGATTAAATTAGCTTATTTTAAAAAACTATAAGAAACAAATTTCAGTCATGATCTGCATCAATTGTTTTAATTATGAAGCTTAGAGGACACAGCTCCTCAGGTGGTTGAGTGTAATGGTCATCACAGCTTCTGTACAGATAACCAACTGAATAGGAGCCATTGCTATTCTGGTAAATATAGCTATTTATATAAGAAGATAACCTCACATATTCATAATACAACAAACATGTCTTGGTAACCTCGTTAGCTTTCTGTGTAAAAAAAAATTAGAACTCAACCAAAACACTACGACCAGTTTTTTTTACATCAAAGCACAATGCACACTAAAACACAATACAGATATGCTGAACTGAAAAAAAATTAAGTAGTAGATATACTGTACATGATGACTAGGTCCTACTTCTTCTTAGCAATGTAAGTGAGTGACCATGCGACAATCTGGAATGTACCATGTAGTGTAATAAACAGACCATGTGAAATTATTTCCTCTAATATGTAGTCATGCTGCAATCTTGAATGTACTGCAGAGCCTAATATAAGCTGCTTACGACATAGAAAAAAAGTTAGAGGGAACATTGGTCCTAGTTAAATCCATAATTAAGTTCCACTTTTGAAGAGCAGGTACAAAACAGATTTGAGGGCTCCACAACAAAGAAAAATACAAGATTTCATTATGAAGTTACAAGTTTGAACCCCAAGATTTGCAAGGCTGCTTATGTGACCATTAAATAAAAACATGTTTGTCATTGAAGAAAAAAAAATGCAGACACATGCCAAGGTTGTAGGATTGCCATTCATCTCCATGGAAACAGGAGACAGCAATGTCACAGTTACAACTGTAGCTGAAGCCAGTGAAACAGACCCAAAATAGCCCACGCATCTTACACCTCGGACAGGTTTCGACATCCTGGCCAAGTTGTCAAGCTGTTGTAGTTATATGTGCTTATTTGTGAAAGCAAATAATTACTCCCTAAAGGTCACCTTCAGTGGATAGAGATCCTGAGCATGTAAAGTTCCTATTCCTTAACACTCGGGGGTACCCTGAAAGGAGTATTCTACTCAGCCCTCTGGATTGCAATTACAGAACAATTTGACTGTTCAAATCTTGGAAAATATTTAAACCAGCATGTACAATATGATACAATCTCACTTGGATGACAGGGAAGGTGAAGGTTCTAAGTTTCTTGGGAAATACAGTTCTGGAGTTCATTACCGCTCCCACTATGACACTTAGTGTTGTGGAATCCTCACTATAGAGCTCATTGGGATGGCACAAACTCAGTTTAACACCTAATTTGAAAAGTTGGTACCTCAAGAAATGTGGTCAAATAGTACTATCAATTTGTTTAAAGAGACAGTAAACAAATTAAATTCAATCTAAATTCAAAATCTTGTTGCTTAGATTCAGTTAATCCATACAAATCTGAACTCCCTTTACAAGGCACCACAATGGTTCTTCATTATTACTATGTTCAAAAGCACGGAGGCTTACAGCACAGACTATTCAACTGACAGATTCTTGCTGGAGCAATCCAGAACCAATCCATGGTCCTAAACTCTTCTACAGCACACAGCATTTGTTACTTCAAATATTATTGGTAGTAAATCATTCTGTATTCCAACACACTTACACGAAAATAATTTTTTCCTAACATCTATCTTTACACTCAATTTTTAAATATTCTCTTATCCTTGCCCACAGAGGCTGAAATTGACTCACTATCTCAAGCCTTTCCTTGTAATCTTTTGGCATTCTTCATCTTGGTGAAACCATATTCTACTCTGCCTACGGCTTCATCTTCTCTTCTAAAACAGGACATCCAAAACTACACACAACGTTCAAACTTAGGCCTCAAAGAGCAATTTTGCAAATTTATCACAGTCTTTTGAATCAAATGCCCATGCTTAACTGCAAAATGATGCCTCTTTATAGTTTTACAGTCGGTGCTGCTGTACCGCATGTTTCTTCGATGCAAATTGGCTTTAACGTGATTGAAGAATTTAGACCACTATTTGTAGAATGTGAACTTTCCTTACCTGTATTGGCTATAATGCGATTCTGGCCCCATTAGTTTAAATGGTGCGGCTATTGCGCAATTTTCTTATAACATGATATTGCATGAGAACAGAACTATCACATTATATCAGAACCAACGGTATCTGCAGATGCATGTATAGTCTTGTGCATTGCAGTTCTTGAAGTATCCCTGTTCATGCATGTCCTTCAGTATTCTTCCATTTAACTTACAGATCTACTAACGTCCTTGGAAGGCTTTTCCTTCCAAGATGTACACTGACATTTCTCCAAATTAAAGAGAATCTGCAACCCGTCTGTACATTCTATGAACCTAGTCCTTTACAACTCTCCTTGATGTATGTCCTAACTTCTGTGTTATCAAATTTTTAATTGGTATTAAAGTGACTCCTGGGTTGCTCAACTTCCAACCCTCTCCACTCCAGCAACAGTCATTAATCCACATTTATTGACTAAAGCTTCCAGCATTTGCAGTCATTACTGTCTTAGTCATTAATCCCTTAGTTTTTGCCCAGAGCAAATTTCTTTTTCATGTCACTATATTTTCCTATTATATCTGAACTTTGTTAAAATCTTGGTGAAATACTTTTTACATATCTTTCAAAGTCAATATTCTGTTTATTTTCACAAACAAGTTGATTACATTTTTAATAAAAATATTAACATAGGCAAAAGCCACTTCCACTTAACAATCTGTTAGACTATCCTTGATTAACCAATGCATGATCAAATCATCAATTTAATTTCAATTGTGGAGTTTTAACACTGGCAGGTTTCAAGCAGATGAGTGGAAAGGTTAAAATTGTAAACCACATCCAACCACTCATCTTGCCCCAACCCTGGGACCTATCCAGTCATTACAATATATGGACTATACTTATCTAGCTAACTCTCGTCTTCCTTCATGATCAGCAATAATTACTTTGTACTTCCCTACTACGATGTGGCTTCATTTACAATTTGAAAACGTTGTCAATTTCAGCCATGAAGCAGAGATCTGATCATTTCTACCTGCCCTCTTAAAAAGGTCACTAGAACACCCTCTTGCAGCAATTAGATGAGGCCTTAATGTAACATTCAAAAGACCCCATCAATGACAATGCAGCACTCCTTCAATATTACTCCAGGTTGTCAGCACAGATTAAAATCTGGCATCTTTGACTGAGACCTTGCATTCACCACTGAATACTATTAACTGAGCCAAGCAGACACCAGCTGAAAGAAGGGTCCCGACCCGAAACGTCAACTTTCCTGCACCTCTGATGCTGCCTGGCCTGCTGTGTTCCTCTAGCTCCACACGGTGTTATCTCGGACACCAGCTTTAGCTATTTTTTAAATGCCACTAGCAAAGGCCTTTGAATGAACAGTGAAATGGTAAAGTATAAAAGCTAGTGTGCACCTCATAGGATTTATTTGAATGTTGAAATCAGTTAATTGGAATGGGAAAAAAAAAACTCGGCAGATTGGGAAGAACCTTCACAACCAAAACACAAATTTTTAATTGTGTTACTTTAAAAATTAAAATACAACATGTTTGTTAACTTATAAACAAATAAAAACAAATAAATGACCACTACGGCAACTGACACAGTAAATCAAGGATTATTTAAATAAAAAATCACAGAGCTTATGAATCATTTCTGGTACATTGTTAAGGAAGCCTGTTTGCTATTTAAGAGCCAATTCTTACCTGAACAATCCACGTGACTTCTGGCAGATCCAGCCCACGTGCTGCTACGTCCTTTCAGAGAAAAAAGACAGACAGAATAGAAGATTACATGGTGCTGAGACAAGACCCCAGCATGCCACTTGGTGGGCTACATGATGCCTGAAAGTACAGATGGACCGCAGGGCAATCGGTGCCAGCTTGTCAGTTGGATTCAAATGACTCATTTATTTGGTGCAGAAGCTTGCAAAGCGAGCAAGCTAACAGAGATAGGGAATCTAACGATTCACTAGGTGGGGCCACCATTTTGCCACTGTCATCCCAACATTCTGCCAAAAGTCATTATTGCCTTTTGCAGAAAGTCAGCAGCAGGGTAGTGGCCCCCGTTGTCCAGGCGACAGATTGTACCACGCTATCAGTGAAGGAATAAGAGGGAGTTAAAGCTGTCAGAAGCGCCTACAACTGCTTGAAACCAAAGGAAATTGGCATCTTAAGTTAGCTCTTCAGTCCAAGGTGCACACAATTCATATGAATGACCTTTTCTAAAACTGTACCATTACCAAAAAGAACAGGGTCCAAATGAACAATTAGAGAGACAATATTATATGTAATTAAAAATATGTGCAACATTTTAATGCGAGCAGGCTTGACTGAAGCAAATCAACACTGCATTTCTAGGAATAAATCCAAAACGAACTGAAGCTTTTTAACCTCAAGCTGAGAAAATTTACAACAAAAAAATTACAAAAATGGAGAATCTGCATAGAGGTTTACAGAACAATTAAGGCATCATTAAATCTTATTTGTAAACGTGCAGTAGCTGATTGAAAGTTAACTGCTGCAAGCTCCATTAAATTTACATTTTACAAAACAGATATAGCAATGGCTGCTTAAACATGAACCAGTCACATGGGGCTGAAAACTCAAATCTTTTCCAGAAAAAGGGGAGAAATTTCCTGACCCCATCCCCTCCACGACAAACAACTTGGTTAATTTTATTCCTATTCTTTGTAGACTCAGACCATTATGACAGCTCTTCCTAAACAAAAAAAATAATTTTTTTTGGCATTATTCAAACTTTTGGTGACTAGGATATAGTGCAAAGGTTGAATAAAATGCACACAGTTCAAGAGGTATCAGTACCTTCAGGTTTAAGCTCACATGAAAAGGCTTCTTAGACTGACAATGGGGTGGGGAGACAAAAATGGGAGGGATGGGAAATTTCTTCCTTCATCTCCTTCTCACTGTAACATTAAGAGGATGCTTACAAAAATAAGATTACAAAGTGTTTTCTTTGGCACTAATTTCTGACATGGTTACCATTCAGTAGGTTAAAATAATAACCATTTGGTTCAACAAATAAACTTATGAACTAACCTGCTTTGTCTCTCTTTAAACACGAAATGGGAAAACTGAAGGATGGCTTAACATGCAACATGTTTGCACTACACTAGCAGCATTAGCCATGGTCCATTTGTAGCCTGCCAAATAAAAGCACAGGCGAGGGGTTGTAGTTCTGGTGTGGTGGTGTTGGTAGTGGGGTCAAGGTGGGTGGTGGGAAAATCAATGTGTTTAAATTGTGAGAAAAAGCTCAACAGAGAGGGTATGAGTTCAACTGTTACAGATGAAGATCTGTGTATTGAAGGTATTCTCTGTGTGGTCCAGAATACTGTTAAAACTGATAGGATTGAAGAGACTGGCCTAGACAATGAACTACATGGTTATTCACAAGAAAATTTTCAGCATTTCAAAGTTTAGTATTTAAACTGATTGCTGTTTTGGAAAGAAAGTGACAGTCTGGCACGAACTAGCATTGAGTGCTGTCAGGGGTTAATCGAGGTGACATGCACCAAGCTGGGTTAAGCTCGTGCTGAAAGTTTACTTGGGTCATCTGCTCTGGTCACAATGTTATTTGGTGGTTATAATTTAATGGTCCTTGCTGGTACAGCCCAGCTCAGAACCAGCCACATGGCGAACTGTGGGCATGCACCTACATTGTAATGTGCCATGGCACACCATCACAATATATGGTTCTATGTGTAATTGATGAGTTCATTTCAAGGGCATAAAATGATACAAAATTTCATTTAAAAAGTAAAAGCAAAAATTGTACAGCTTCAGATTGTAAAACTGACCAAACATACAACTCTCAGACTTCTGCTTTAGGTATTTCAACATTCTTCAGTACTTTTTAGCTCAGTGGCAAAAAAGTTAACACTTTGTGAAGTAAGTCACCAGAGTCAGAAAGGGCCATACGGCTGTTCTCTCATCAGAGAGGCGATTGTTGGTGGCTTAACCTGACAGTCATCATGCGTCAGGCGAGGGGTGAGATTGAGAAGGCAGGGCCCTAATGGTGACCTCAGCTGGTATGGGAATTGAACCCCAATTGTTGGCACCATTGCATTGCAAACCAGTCATCCAGCCAACTATGTAAATGTGTCTGCATATACACTTATTTTAACATGATTTTGTTTTAGCTTTTGTATTTCATCTGAAGGTAAGCTATTTGCAGCCATATATAACTAAAAATTGCAACATTTCATTGAGTAATTTTTCTGCTGTCAATTAAAGTAAAATTATAACAATGACTATATATGCAAAAGCACAGATTCTTAACTACATAAAAGGAACGTAATTCAAAGTTGTGTATGCTAATGCAATTTTAAAACCTCAAGTTCCCTTCACATTTGATAGTTTTACATGAAGCCTTAACAGTGCAAGAATGATATAATATTATAGACCGCTGTGCATTCTTTTTCAAGCAATACATTTTCATAGCAAAGAGATTTTACATCTATAAATATGTACCTGAAAAATTATACAAACAAAAAAATCCTTGTAGCTAAACTTGAAATACACTAATCAGATTAAGCACAAAAAACAGAAATCAAAGCCTACACAGGAAAACCTGGTACTTTTTACTCAATCCTGCTTCTTTAGTGACAGCTTGCCTTGAAAGGGCAGTTCAGGAGTGCGTCATCACAAACAGAATGAGCTCGGAAGGGTTTATCAGCGCTAATTACTCCCGATAGCTGTAATTTACACATTTTCGGTGGGTGGAAATAGTCAAGATTCACACGTTTAGAGATCAGCATCTGCCACCTTTGGAGTGCAGAATGCCACCTTCTGCAGTCTGAGCAGCAGCAAGGAGAGCCAAAACAATCCAACACAAGGTTCCGATTAATACCTGACAGCATTAACTCGGTAATTTTTAGCTCTAAGTGGACAAAACACACCTGCCTTTTTATTATACAAATAGTTAGTTCAAAACAAACAGAAAGTAAGAACAGAAACAAATGAAGATACTGCTTAGACAGTCTTAAATTTACAGTGCATGATAGTGCAATGCTAAGTAGAACAGATATGCAAATAAACCCCAGTAGTCCACTGAGCTTCTGACATAGTTATGCTGTGTTGGGACATGCCAAGCAAAGGCTTGCAACCTTCCCATAAGGGGAAGTCACCAGGTTGCCATCAGGTGTCTTCGAGTAAGCAGATGAAGAGCACAGTTCGTGTAGGTTTGGGAACATATCTGGGAACACTCAGCTGCAGGTGGCAAATGGCCTGGTGATGCCAGCGTGAGAGTGGGGGCGAAGAATGGTGTGGAAGAGAAATTTTGTATCCATATGTTTAAAAAAAATTTTCAATTAAATATACATTAGCTAATTCTCTACATTTTGGCAACTTAGCTTTAAAGAATTACGATTATTTTACCAGTATAGTTTCTCTAACTTTTGGAAAGAATTGCTACACTAATAAATATGATTTTATAGTGCGTTTAACAGGATTTTGATTGTAAAAACTAGTAATCAGTATACTTGCTTTGCTTAAAATCAGCAAAATTATCACCCATGAGAAAACCAGCATCAATTTCTGACAGCTAGCATCAAACTGGTAACACTGAAATCATGACAGAATAGCATCAATTCTAATTAGTACTTTTATTATTTAGGTAGTAAATTGGGAGAGTTCTACAATGTGAAACCATTCTGCTAGTTCACTGTCCAAGAGGTGAAGGTGACAATTCTATGCTAGCATTCTCTGTTGATGCCAGTGTGGTCAAATCACATGGCATACTACTGTATTAGAATAAATAAATTACCAGATTGTGAAAATACTGACACTGTAACTTTCCAGTATATGCAACTACTGTGTTATTTATAAAATTCACCACATTTACTCAGTTCCTAGTCTCTATTATTTAGTTTTTTAATGTATACACAAGTCTCAGTTGTAACAAATATTGATGGCTGTCCTCAAGTTTTGCATTAATCTATCATACCACTTAAACTATCGAAATGACTAAATGCCCAATTATAAATACGTACTGAAACATTCTTTAAACCTTTCGGTGATCCTTTACTACTAACAGTTCCAAACTGCAATCAACATTTGTACAGTCAAAACCATTAGCTGAATTTGCATGAAATCTAAATTCAGGAAGCTTCTATAAAAACAAACTTAATGTTACTTCCATTATTGTTCTTGAAAATGAATCTGGTTTCTGAAGCTGTACAATTTTCAAATGGTCAATTTCAGACGTTGAAAAGAAAGTTAAGAATGTGTTCCATCTGGAAAAAAGAACCTGCTTTTTCCCTTCTTAGATGGCGATGGGTCTACTGCATATTTCCTGCATTTTTATTTAATATTTGCAACTTTTTCTTTTTCCAATCCTTGTTAAACTAGGTGGCACGATGGCTCAGTTGTCAGCACTGCTGCATCAGAGTGTCAGGAGCCTGTGTGGAGTTTGCACATTCTCCCAGGATCTGCGCGGGTTTCCTCCAGGTGCTTTAGTTTCCTCCCATCGTCCAAAAGATGTGCAGGTTAGGTGGATTGGCCATACTAAATTGCTCACACAGTGTCCAGGGATGTGCAGGCTAGATTTCATGGGAAATGCGGGGTTATGGGGATGGGGTGGGTCTGGGTGGGATGCTCTTCACAGGGTCTGTATGAATTCGATGGGCCAAATGGCCTGCTTCCACACTGTAAGGATTCTATGATTCTATTCTATATTAAACTGTCCCAGTCAACTTACCCATATATGTGTTTGTGCAAATTTCCCTCTTGAGTATCCTTACGGCCTCAGATTACCAATCTTAGGGCAACATTACAAATAATTTTTAAGTTATGAATTCATACTCTTTGCAATATCTGATTTGTCTGGAATTGCTTCCTCAATAATGTGATCAAAGATCATTTGAATGTTATCAAAGGTCATCAAATGTCATTTTGAGAGTTGTAATTAATAGTTTGGAACTCAGAGTTAATTACATTATTCAGCAAATGTGTCAGAAAATAATGTGTCTGAAAAGTCTGCAAAAATTAAAAAAGAGGATCAAGAACCATCAGAATAATAGAAGCATGAAGAAGGGAAAAACAGAAACAAGAGAAAAACTGAAGGACAGAAAAGAATGATAACTGGAAAATATTCAGACAGCAACATACAGATTAATTGGAAGATAAAGAAATTATTCTGTATAAGACAGCAGAAAAATGATTTTCACTTTCCTAGAGAAAAAATAAAAACGAGTTTCGCCATCCTTTCAGGATTATTGGGAAAGGGAGGATGCCAATCAACCAACACCTGGCCAACATTCCCTCTAGCTGCACATGCACACAGCTGCTCTGACACTCCATGTACAACAACCATCGTGCTCACATGCATTGCAGCATTGACTTCTAGTTCCAAAAACTGCTGCCATGCATGGACTTTAGAGGTCCATGCACAAGACAACAAATTATAAGGGATGCTATTCCAATCTTTATGGCAAACACATATCATTCTGAGATTTAGAGTTTATTAATAAGCCAGCATCCATTTATTTTTGAGAGAGAGAGGATTCCACACTTCTTAAATTATTACCCTTAGCATGAAGATGTTTCTCAGCATCCCTGCTGAGTGGCTTGGCTTTGGTTTTAATGTAATGCTGTCTTGATTTGGTCTAGTCTTTAAGATTTGTACTTACTGTGCAGAGAAGGACACCCATTTTTGACTGTAAAAATTCCAGAAAAACTTGCTTCCGCGCCTGCAGAATAAAAGAAAGACAGTACCATTATCAGACAGTGCAATAACATACAGTGCATTCCTATACTTATCACTTATATTCAGATCTAACAGACATGGAACCTTAGAGCTCAAACTTGTTTTCAAATAACATAATACAAATGAATCGCTTTCAAAGAAAGTGCATTTATTGCAAACAGTAGCACCAGGTGGAGCAACCTGCACGCCTTCTCAGGAACACAGCATTGCAGCCAGCTAATGTCATTAGTTCTGTCTGCGATTTTAGCCTCTGGATAGTTCGGGGGGCTGGGAAGTTGGAGGACACAACAGAAGGCTGGAGTATGGGAAACAGATGCAGCAGCAGCTCCTGATGAGGGCACTACCTCCAGGCTCCGGGAAGGACCCCTTTCTGGGCAGCACCCTGGCTGGAGAGGACAAAGTGGCAGGGTCAACATAGCAAAGGAGTGGCAGCTGAGGAGAGCTGCTTTGCAGATGCTGTCATAGTGGGGAAAACTTCATTTCATCTGCCCCGGCCTCCACCTTGCCCCCAGTCTCGCTGGTCCCCTCATACCAACCTACTGACATCAGTGGCACACGCAGACATTCCCTGTGGCCTGTCATGGCCAGCTGACATCATGGGCTGTGTCTGCACATGCAAGGAGGCCATTCTGGTGTTATAATCACTTCACTGCAATTGAATCACTTGTACAAATCACAAACAAGTTATGAAGAAAATTGTAAAATGAGTGTTTTTACACACCAGGAAATGACAGAAAACAAAAAGGCAAATATTTGGAAATAACAGCACTTTTCTGGTAGTACGGACAGAGCAAGAAGATTGGGAAACTTATAAATAAGTATCAGTAAGCAGCAAGTGACAACAATAATGACAGTAAGAGGAATCTTACTGTATCTGAAATGCAGCAGTACACCCGCTCAGCAGTACCATATGGGGTATGCTATTTAGCTCCATTGACGCTCTAATTTGAAGACATAATGCACTAATTATACTCAGGATAATAAACATTAAAATTCCTCCCCTGACACCCATCCACTTAATCTTGGTTTTGCTAGATAACAGCTGGTCAGGGTGTGTGCGTCCTACATATCCAGCCTGCTCTAACTCACAAAGTGCAATGGCTACAATGGGCATCAAAACTGTCAGTCTAGGTGTGTTTTCCTTAAACTATATCTATTTTCTCCATGTCTATACTGTATTCCTCAATTACAGAGGTAGGGTAAATTTGTTCCAATAATGCACGTATGGAACATTACCCAAGCAGTTTTCCTTCCATCTTTATATTGATTATTTATTATTGATTATGGTTAGGATTTTAATTTGCATTTTCTGGGTCAAAACCTCAGGATTTTAAATGCAGGTTACTGAGAATATTATATCTTAAACTACAATTTCCCCTGGGCAACCACAGTCATAATCAAACACTGGAGTTTCCCCAAATGATAATTCTTTATTATGGCAGCATTTACTTCGGTCCTTAGAGCACAACTGAAACAGAAATGTTTATGTCACACCTAGAATATGTTGAATGTCATATAATTTAAAGCCATGTTATTAATCTTCTCACATAGACTGCAGCAGTTATGGGAAATTAAAAATAAAACTTCTTTGTCTAGTGGGAGTAAATGATTCCAGATCCTTTTCCTCTCACAATGACTTTCTTCACCTGCTAGAGACAGAGCTCTGCAATATACTAAGATATTCTCTCTAACAGCCAAGCCAAGAATCAGTGCATTTCATCAGCTAGGGAGTTTCTGCAACCATTTAAGTGAGATCCAATGACTGTCTGGCGGCCTGCTGATGCACATCACATGGTGCACCATGGTGCTTCTTCCCTGCAGTTCCCCACACAGAGAATTTCTGATCTCACCCACACAGTCTGGGTGATAAATAGTAGAATCGACCACGGTACTCCTGCACACCTCTTAGCAGCTGTTTCAAAAGTAGCACAGGTAGAGGCTGTGGAAACTGCCAGGGTTACAGAGTGGTGTTGATAGTGAGAAATCAAAGGAAGCAAAAGGAAAATCCTTTCTTAATGTCAAGTGTTAGTTCCTTCATGCCTCAACACACAAATAAAAGCAAACTCACCTCCTGCTCCATGTTCCCATGCAATCGCAGAAACAGCATCTTACAAGCTGAGAAAGGTAAATGTTTTAGCTCCTTGCTGTCAGAATATGGAGTAAGGACATTTGTGAAAAGGGTGTAGTGAAATTCCACAGACTCACAACTAGAGAAAAATATCATCATTTTCTGTTTCTTTTCCATCTGTGAAATATAGAAAGAATTATCAGACATGGTTGGATCTGAAGTAAAAGTAATTCCAATTAATAATCATTATGTGGAAAATTGCATAAGACCAAGTCTCAATTAATGAATTTTTTTTTCAAAGAAACAACCATGGAACTAAATCTTAATTTCATCTGGGTTAAACATGATAAAATAATTAAAGGCTTTTCTTTTCAAAGCACACCTCCAGCTGATTACAAATTTTCAAACTGCCCTGATGGAATATGAAATCTAAACATTAGTCTAATCCTTTGACACGCTACCTCAGTAATAGAACTTTCCTTCACACTTCAATAGGATGTGGGCAATGCTGTTAAGGCTATTATTTGTTGACCCTGAAATAACTTTGGAAGGAGTTATGGGTCAATCACATTGCTGTGGATCTAGTGTCACATGTAGACCAGCAGGCTAGAAAGGTAGTTGTCCTTCACCTGCTACAGTGAACCTTATAAGTTTTTAACAATGATAGTTTCATCATTCACCATTACTGAGACTTTTGATTTTTATTCCAGGTTTAACAATCAAATTGAGGTTGCACTGGTGGGATTTGAACCCATACCCCAAGGACATTAGTTGCTCCTCTGGATTACTGGTCCAGTGACATTACCACTATATCTCCCAACCACATCCTATATTACCACATTCAGAGCCAGTTCTTACTTTGCATTTTTGGAGTATGAATGCTGAAAGTGTAACTAGTCGCAGTTTGCTGGGAACCATTACTATAAACTGTTGAAGTTGCTCTGGAATTGAAAAGCATCCCAAATCTTCCTCAATATTCTCTTGCTTGATCCTCATTCCTTTTGTCGCAAATACAGGTTTGGACTGCCGTGTTTCTGTGATATATATATTGGCTGGTTCTTTTAAACTGATCCCAGCTAAACGATTCACTCCTGAGATAAAAATATATTGCACTTAGTGATTGCATTTCAAAGGAAAATGAGCACTTAGAGTCATAGATTATCCTGGTTTTAGGTTACTTCTGATATGCACGGTTTCATTTATGCTGTTCAGTATTATTTTTCAATTTGATTGCATAAGGGAAAAAAACGTCTTGAATGTCATGCAGTACCTGAAAGAAGATCTTAAAAACCAAAGTTGGCAAAGGAGAACTTTGCTCCAATAAAATTTATTATACTTGGACCTTCAATTTTTTTTAAAAGAAGCATAAAACTTTTCAAACTAATGGTACAGTGCAGAGCCATAAGATATTTTAGCAGGCTTCACCCTGCTGTTATTGGTGTGCTCCACCATGGCAATATATGGAAAAGTGTAAGAGTGGAAAAGATTCTGAAGGCAATCTGACCAGTCACAGAGACTGAAATCTATTTTTATTCATTCTAGGGATATGGGGTTCCTGACAAAGCTAGAATTTCCCTTTGGGAAAGTGGTGGCAATGAAACTTCTTCTTGATGACTGTAGCCTATGTGGTGAAGGTGTCATAAAATATTCTTAGGTCAGGATTCCCAGGATTTTGATCCAACACCACAATAGAAGTAAAATAAATAGCATGTCAGATTCAAATTTCACACAGTCTAAGGAGTAAAGCTAACATTGAACGGTTTAGTTTTAATGGCTGTATTTATGTTTTCTTCTTATTTACAGTATTTACATTTATTCACAAGGAACCAAGTCTCACCATCTGTTAGGGTGGCAGAGAGGAGAACATTTTGCCTTTTCTGGTGTGCTGCATTTAGAGCGTTCAATATCACAGTGATATCTTTCTCAAAACCCAGGTCCAGCAACCTGTTTACAGAGAGAAAAATATGTCACAGATACTGTTCTTAAAAGAATTTCTATGTGGTCTCACTAAGATACTAAATTATTCGATGTTAAATACAGCTTAACTACATTCCTTAACACCAGAGATTAATAAAGAGCAGCAGTAACACCTATAAATTCAAAGCATCATGAATAAAGTTTCCATTGTAACCTGACTCAGTTCACCTAATTATAATTAAGTTACTCCACACCCCACTGCAAAAATGTTTTCTTGAAGCTTTTTGTGATGGACTGCAAAGTGCAATAGAGACATCTATTGGTTGGAAACCATTACCGCAAAAGTAATAAACAAAAACTTTAATTAAACTGTCAGTTCTACTGTACAAACATCTCAACGTTATAGTTCACAGAAAAGAATTAAGATGTTGTTTGCAAATCTAAGACAACAGACTGATAAATATCCCTGTAACAAGTGAAATTTAATTACAGAGGTGACATCAGGTCTCTTAACCAGCATTTCAGGACAGAAATGAAGAATAATGGTGATGACAGCATTTGAAACCCCAACTTTAGTGGAACGTTGGATCTCAAACTGCAGTTCATCATAAGCTAGAAAATTCTTGCCTAACTTAAAAAAAAGTACATTTACATACCACCTTTTATGACTTCTTTAGCTCTTTACAAATTAAATACTGTTGAAGCACGTTTACTGTCGCAACACCAGAAAAGCAGCAAACTTCCACAAACAAAGCTGTTTATATTGATCAGGTAATCAGCATCACTAAAGATTGATTGAGGGATAAATATTGCCAAAGACACCACAATTGTGTCTTGGTTTCTTTTCCATCCACCCAAGAGAGCATATGAGGCATCAATATCATCCCAGCTGCAAGAATGCAATGCTGGCAGTATTGTATTGGAATCTCACTCTAGGTTTTGTGCTCAAATCTCGAGAATGGGACTCGAGCCCACAACATTCTTACTCAAAAGGTGACAGCGTGTTTCCCATTGAACCACAGTGATCACAGTAACAGGTACATACTCATTTACCTGTCAGCTTCATCAATAATAAGCCACTGTACACGAGTAAAACAAGTATTTTTTGTGTTCTTTATATGATCCACTAGTCGCCCTGGAGTTGATAGAAGTATATTTATACCTTTACGTAACCTAGAACAAGAAAATAACAATTTAAGAATTTATATAGCCTCAGAAACTTCCTGAAACACTGCACATAGAGAATCAAGGTAAAAATCACAGAAGTCCCAGAGGACCATAGTGATACTTTCTCATTAAAGAGATGACTGGTGGGTAGTTTAATTTAGGGTCACTTCATCTCAGGCAAGAATGAAAACACAGGACCCTCATGATAAAATCAGCCAGCACAGGAGCTAAACCTCACAAGCAGTATGGTTTTGACTTCCAGTGAAAGACTTGCGTCTGCCTCTGTGGCCTGCCTCCAACAGTGGCTTGCTGTTGCCTTCCACCAGTGACAAAGACTGCCAACAGAACAGCTCAGAACGATGCATCAGACAATCAGGCAAGGACCGGCCTTTGGGCACAGCACTCTTGGAATGGAATTAGCCATGAGTAAAATGTGAAAATAGTTAACTATCAAGTTGAACCACATCAGAGCATGCTAGAATTACATTGTAATGGAGGAGGCTATTCAACTATCCTATTAGTCACACTTCTTAAAATCAATACCAATTCAATATGCTAAAAACACTGGCCTTTACTCAGCCAGCTCATGTTTGTTAGTTTTCACTATTCACTTCACTGATTAGGTCAGACATACCTAGCTTTCTCAGATTTTCGTTTCTCTCCTCCCATCAGTACTCCTGGTACGATCCATGTAAACGGCTATTAAGTTTAAAAAAAGAAGCAACTGTTCATTTAGGAAACCAGATAACAGTATGAAACATTCAATCTGCTTTTGTCTAGTTCATTGACAGTGGCTTTATAAATAGTGGTGTAGGATTCAATAGTAAAGAAGTAACGATAAATCTGCATAGACATTAAGAAAACTGTGATTTGACCAATGTGTACTGAATTAAGGAAAAGATGATTGAAATCAGAGGGTATACAATGTAGATTCTCTAGGATAAAAAATGGTATGAAAAAAGATTCAAGCTGTGAGAACCATCTTCATTGCTGCAGCAAGGACTAAAGTGGAGAATTAATAGAGGTTTTTAAAATTTAAGGGTCTTGATGGAGTGAATAGGGAAAAATCATTCCTCTGCTTGAGAGATGGTAGCAAAGGATTATCAAATTAGAACAGTCACTGAACATATGGACAGAAATTAGGAGAAATTTTTTCACAGTGAATGTTGAGCACAACACCTAGAAACCTTTTATTTCAGAGTGTTGCATGTTCTCCTGCTTGGATGAAAGTGGAGATAACCAGAAAGTAACAGAATTAATAAATTAGTTAGCAGGAGAGATTGCGGGGACAGCCATTTCGCAAATTCTGGGAGAGAGCTCATCATCAGCAGCTCCATTAAAAGAGAAAAGTGACCTGCATGAGAAAGGCAGCAGTAGCTGGAGATAAAAACCAGGAGGTAGAGAAACCAATCTGTCAGAGTCAAATTATAACATCACAGGAAAACCAGTTGTTTGGCAGTATTTTGTCTGTGTTCTTTTAATTGGTCAAGAGTTTTAAATCAGAATGAAATATTTTTGCAGCTGAAGAGCACAGTTTAAAAAAAAAAATCATTTTCAGAATATTTAATATCTGAATTAAAATTGAATAGAGATGGCAGGGCAGGCAATGTGCTGCAGCTGTAATACACGGGAGTTGGTACAATCCATGATCATCACATCTGCAGCTAGTGTTGGCTGCTCAAGGATGTGTGGCTCAGAGCTGATGGCTGGAGTCTGAGCTGCAGATTTTGCCACATATCAGGGAAAGGGTGAGGTTCCTGGACACTGAGGCAGTCACATCCCTTAGATTAATTACAAATTTTTACCCACTTTCAGTGACAAGAGGGTATGATTGTGAGTGAGACAAGTATTGGGATCCAGAATTTAGCTTTGGAGGAGCATCAGACTCTTGCCCAAGAGGTAAGAGGTTATTGCTCCGGGTGTAGATGAGGAGATAGATTACAAAGAAGAGGAGTTACTGACCACAGCACCATGGTCCAGAGTGCCTTTAAAACGTGAGGAGAAAAGAGAATTGTAGATAGCGTAGTTAAAGAATAGATACTGCTCTCTGCAGCAAAGATAGTGAGGCCCAAAGGCCTTGCTGATGCCAAAGTTCAGGATATATTTCTGGGTTGGAGAGGAACCTGGGAGTGGGAAGAAGGAGAGGATCCAGTTTTTGTGATCCTCATAGATATCAATGACATTGGTAGGATTAGGAAAGCGGGTCTGCTGAGGAATTACAAGCAGTTCCAGCTGAACTAAAAAGCAGAACCGCAAAAGCAATAATCTAAGCTTACTATGTGAGCCACATGCAAATTGGCATAGGGCAACTCAAGCTTTTCAGAGGCAGGTGCATGGGTCAAAGATTGTGTGGGAGAAATGGGTTCTGATTCATGGGGCACTAGCACCAGGTCTGGGGGAACAACAGATGTCCCACTGGAATGGACTTCCTTTCAGTTATGTTGGGACTAGTGACCTGGTGAATGATATAACTGGGATCGTGGATAGACCTTTAAACTAAACTAAGTAGTGGGGTCAGTGTTCAATTGAAGGGAAGTTTAGGAAAGTCAGAGAGAAGCAAAAGAGCAAAGGTGAACAATAATGACAGGAAGGGATAGAAAATACATGCAGAAGAGTGCTGCAGAAATTAGAATCATTGTAAGTAATAATGGTAAAAATTTGAAGTTTAAGGCTGTTTTACTGAATGCATGCAGCATTTGTCACATAACAGATGAGCTGACAGCACAAATAGAAATGAATAAATGGATACGATTTGACAACTAGTTACATAGTGATCAAGACCGAAACACAGTATTCACGGGTATTTGATGTTCCAAAAGAATAGGCAAAAAGGAAAAGGAAGTGGGGTAGCATTGTTAATAAGGGTCATTTCAGTGTGGTTGCAAATAGCAATATAGGTGCAACAGATTGCTATTACTTATTTCCACATCACAAAGGAGAGAGGTCATAGGTGGATGTCTGAAGAGATGTCACACTGTAAGACAAAACAGAAATGAGGAAATAATGGAAGTGTGTAAACAAGGTACTACAACTGTCATCGGTGATTTTAATGTGCATACTGAATGGACAAAATCAGATGGGCAAGTGTAACATAGCAGACCAATTTATAGAGTACATTATGGATTGCTTTTTAGAGCAGTAGATACCAAGGAACAGGCAATGTTACATCTAGTAATGTGTCATGAAATACGATTAATAAAACATCTCACAGTCAAGAATGCATGGCTTAAAGATTGGTGTGGAAGGAACTGGTTTCAGTTTATGGGACACTGGCACCAATACTGGTAAAAAGAATAACTAAGACTGTAGAGAGGGCTTCAAAGTAATTTGTTTTTTTTTGGGTGGGGAGCTGGAGAGGAGGAGAGGATGGTGGATCTGGCAAGGTAATATGTAAGCTTACAAAGCATATGGAAGTGGCAGCATTTCAGGATAGCTATTTATTGGGGAGGGGGAATGGAAGGGTAAAATGGTTAAATGCACGTAGTATTTCCAACAAGATATGAGTTAATGGCACAAACAAAAATTAATGGGTGTGATCTTATAGTCATTAGGGAGATATCATTTCAAGGATATCAAAGGTGGGAAGTAAATATTCAGAGTCTGTGACTTTTCGAAAGAATAAGAAAGAAAAAATTGGTAGCGGGGTAGCTTTGTTAGTACAGGATAGAATAACCACGATAGCAAGAAATGATCGTGGATTGAAAGTCGTAGAATCCACATGAGTGAAGGTATGAAAGAACAAGGGAAGACAAACACTGGTGGGGGTAGGCTGTAAACCCCTAACATTAGCTAGGACAGAGAATAAATCAGGAGATAATGAAGGCATGTAAAAAGGCAGTACATTAATCATGGGTAATTTTAAACTTCATGTAGATTGAGAAAATCAAATTGGCAAAATAGCTATAAGGAAGAATTCATGGAGTGAATTACAGACGGTTTCCTAGAACAGTACATTGTGGATCCAACCACGGATTGGGCTATTTTGCATCTAATAATGTGTAATGGGGCAGGTTTAATAGATGTTTTCATGGGCACTGAGAAGAGCTTATTACATTAATCAAGACCTTAAGCAAATAAATGAAGATAAATTACAACATGATAGTTGTAGAAAAAAGTAACAATGCACAAGGACAACATTTCTTTACCAAATGATGTACAGGTGTAGGACGACTCACCTGTACCAACAACCAATGATAGCTCAGAATGGGGTTGGGGATGGATGTGGGCGGGGTGGGGGCGGCGGTGCTAGAATTCAACAATAGTCAGTTTACGGTCTTTAATAAAAATGTAAAACCAAGTCAGTAGAGATGGTCTTAGTACTGAGTTAGGTGAAGAAAAATGTCCTACAACATGCATATGAAAGACAAGTGACTCCCTTTTCTTAGCTCTTCCTCACCCTGTTACTTCTTAAAGTGTTCACTGTCACATAAAAAGATGACATACCACGACCTGGTTAAGAAAACTTCCAAAAAGGTAACTGTCAAAAGAGTACAACAAAGTGTGGAGCTGGAGGAACACAGCAGGCCAGGCAGCATCAGAGGAGCAGGAAAGTTGGACATTTCAGGTTGGGACCCTTCTTCATTATGAAAGGAGTACACGTTTAGTTCTCAGTCCTGATGAGATTCTCTTACCTTGATTAATTTCTGAATGGTATCATAGCTTTGCAGGGCCAGCTGATAAGGAGAGTAAACAAAATATTAATGTTCAAATTCTCTGAATATCCTAAATGAATCTTTTCATCACATGTGAATATTTGCTCTTCATAAGCTTTGGATTTCAAAGAATGTTCCAGGTTTTGCCAGGTTTATAGCATTAGTCACTTTTGAATTAGCACATCATCCTTCTGGGATGGGATGACACAGCAGGACATGAACAACTCCTCTTCCTGCTGGCGTGAAGTAAGTTCCTGGTGGGTGCATTCTCACAGCTCAAAACTACCCAGTATTTGACATTAATTGGCAGTCTCACTCAGGCAGATGCAAGAAGCGAAGCAGTCAACACTAATGCATTAGGATGCTGTTCTGAGGTTAGAGTTCAAGCTTACTGCTGGCTAGTGTCAAAGTGAACTTTGTGATACAGTTGGCGTATTTTACTCCTTACCTGGTAATACTTGATGCAGAGTGGAAGTAACGAAAAATTTAAATATTCACAAGTAAATTTAAATACAAGCCATTTATAACTTTCACACTTTTTTTGGTGCAGATAGCATACCTCTCTGGTTGGAATGATGACTACAGCATATGGTCCATCGCTGCGCTATGAAACAAAAACAAAAGAATATCTAAGGGAAATTATTTTTTGGAGATGGATGTAATGGATTCACACCCCCACCCTGGGCCATAAGACTGTTCATTCCATGTAAATGTGGTAATCAAAGTCTCAGTTGTCCCGCCAAGAGTAAAACAGTTCCTCAACAAATGTTCTTCTCATCATGTTGCTACACCTTTCTTCATCTCTATTCCACACTTGCTCTGGAAACCTCGGTGGAAGGAAGTTTGATGCAACATTATAGAAAGGCTTTGTGTAGTTTGCAAACCTAAGAAGGACTGCAACATGAAAGGTTCTTCTGTGGCTACCCTTGAGCAGATAAGTTACTTCTTAGGAAGACAGCTTGCTTTGTGACAGCTCCTACATTGTCTGCCCAACCTCAAGACACAGCAGCAAAAACAAGGCAACATACACAACTCTACATGTGTATAATAGAGACTTTGTATTTAGTAAATGGTAGCATAGTAATCACTTTACCAAACTGGTAATTCAGAGGCCCTCATTAATTCTCTGGAGACACAAATTCAAATCCCACCAAGACAGCTGGGAAATTTTTAATTGAATCAATAAATAATATGCAACTCTCATAATCATTGATCATGAAACTATCCAATTATCATAAAAACGCAGCACCTGGTTCACAAACATATTTCAAGAGAGGAAACTGACCATCTTTATCTGCTCTGGGCTACACAAAACCCATGTCTGCAGCAATACGGTTGATTCTCAACTGCCTTCTGAAATTCATAGCAACTGACTCAGTTGTACCAAACTGTTATAGAAAAATGCACTATGGGCGTACGCTGTACAGACTACAGCAGTTCAGGAAGGTACCACCAGTAAGGCTGTCCAGTACCTCCTCAAAGGCAGTTAGGGATGGGCAACAAATGCTAACATTGCCAGTGATGCTCACATCTCAAAAACTAATTATAAAAAAAAAGAAATCAGATCAGACTTTGAAAAGTTAACTTCCTTCTATTTGTGGTGCACAACAAGCTCAGAAATACTCACTGTTACGAGATGCAACATGTGATTGATCATCATGTGTTATTTCATCTTTTTTCATTAGAGTTGCCTTCAGAAGTTTCTGAAGATTAATTGGCAGGACAAGATACCAGAGACTGAGCTGCCTAACCTAACTGGTTTGCCATAGTGAGACAGTCACAACTGAATCGGTCCAGTTACGTAGCCAAGCTGGCCTTCTTGGAGTATTTCAGTTTGGAAGGAGGTTGTCATGGCTGTCAAAGGAAGCATCACAAGGATACAGTGAAGGTCTCACAGGGGTTTTGATACTGACTGCAAACAACAAATACTGGAGATCACAGCAGGTCAGACAGCATCCATGGACAGAGAGCAAGCTAATGTTTCGAGTCTCGATGACTCTTCACCAGAGCTGAAGGCAGTGCCTTTGAGTTCAAGATCACGGCAACTACTGCAACCAACTAAAAAGGAGTGGCCTCTTTAGAAAACAAGAAAAACAGAGACAGAAATAAAACATAAGGACAGGGAATCCTTAGCCAGCAGCTCATCAGAAACTCAATTTTTCTGTGATATCCTAAACTATTTGAAGCTGTACCTTGCAGTACAGACTGACCTTATCAGTCATTGCAATGGAATGTTATGAACCACTCCTGAAAATGAGCACGGTCATTTTCACTTTGAAGGATGTAGAAGGCAAGATTTCAGCTCCTAACCTGTGGTGCCAAATGAAATATTGATACTTGAGTCTGTAAAATTAAAATACATTTGCATTTCAGAATAGTGGGGGTGGAAGGGATGTATTTTCTTCTGAATTTTTTTTTTTAATGTAAATATACAAAGGAATTTCATGCAGCGTTCCTTCATTGTGACTACCAGGGAACAGTGCTGGAGGGGAGATCCTCAGACTTGTAGCTAGGAAGTACAATGTCATCTTTCTGATTCAGTATATGTCACATTGGAAGGCATCAAGTTGGGCTGATGTCAAAATCTGGAAAAGATCAGGACAGAAGCTTCAAGAGCCCAGGGGTCAGGGTGGATATGGAGGTGACATGTCTGGGGTCTCAGCTTATAACTTGGAGGAGTGGGAAAGTGGTGGTCTCAGTTGGCAATAACAGAAGTGGAGAACGTCAGGATGAAGTCATTGGTGATGAAAAGGTGAAGTACATCAAGAATATTCTTTAAAAGAATGTTTTGGACATTTAAAAAAACGACTGCCTAAAGTCTCCTGGGGATTTTTCTGAATCAGAATAGTTGATGGAGTCACACAGATCAATCACATTAAGGCACATTCACCACCATATTAGAGACTTAAAATAAACTGTTTGATTGCTTTTACATAATCAGCGATAACAATTTTGAATTATTGCCCAAACTGGGGACAAATTGGCTGCTCTATCCCAGATTTAGGCTATCCAGTCTATTCTCGATCATCAGTAAAGTGATGGATGGAAGGTGTCATCAGTTGTGCTAGCAAGCAGCACCTGCAATGAGCTCACGACCTCATTGATTCAAAGATGGACAAAAGAGCTGAATTCCATAGATAAGGTGACGGTGACAGGCCTTGACATCAAGGCTGCATTCAATCGAGTGTGACATCAAGGAGTCCTAGCAAAACTGGAATCAATGGGTATCGGGGGCAAACTCTCCAGTGATTGGAGTCATACCTGGCACAGAGGAATATGGTCATGGTTTTTGGAGGTCGGTCATCTCAGCTACAGGACATCCCTGCAGGAGCTCCAGAGGATAGTGTCCTGCGCCCAACCATCTTCAGCTGCTTCATCAATGACCTTCCTTCCATCATAAGGTCAGAGGCGGGGACGTTCGCTGATGAATGTACAACATTCAGCATCATTCGCAAGTCCTCAGATAGTGAAGCACTCCATGTTCAAATGCAATAAGATCTGGACAATTTTGAGGGTTGGACTGACAAGTGGCAAATAACATTCTTGCCACACAAATGCTAGGCTTTGACCATCACCAATAAGAGGCAGAGGCAATCTAACCACCACCCCTTGACATTCAATGGTGTTACCATCACTGAATTCCCTACTATCAACATCCTGGGCAGACACTCAACTGGACTCACCACATAAACACAATGGCTACAAGAACAGGTCATGAGCTAGGAATACTGCAGGAAGTAACTCACTTCTTGATTCCCCAAAGCCCATTCACCATCTATAAGGCACAAGTCAGGAGTGTGATGGAATACTCCCCACTTGCCTGGATGAGTGCAGCTCCAACAACACCCAAGAAGCTTGACACCATGCAGTTGCTTGATTGGCAGAATATCCACAAGCATTCACTCCCCCCACCATCGATGCTCAGTAGCAGCAGTGTGTACTATCTACAAGATGGACTGCAGAAATTCCCCAAAGATCCTCAGACAACACCTTCCAAACCCACGACCACCTCCATCTAGAAGGACAAGGGCATCAGATACATGGGAACACCACCACCTCAAGTTCCCCTCCAAGCCACTCACCATCCTGACTTGGAAATATATTGCTGTTCCTTCACTGTTGCTAGGTCAAAATCCTGGACTTCTCTTCCTAATGGTATTGTGAGTCAACCCACAGCAGTGGACTGCAGCGGTTCCAGAAGGCAACTCAGCATCATCTACTCAAGGGCAACTAGAGATGGGCAATTTATTCTGGTCAACAGCAACGTTCACATCCCACAAATGAATATTAAAAAAAAAATATTTCAACCTGCATTAGACTCATGTCATTCGAGATCCTGGCTTCATTAATGTGCCTTCAGTGAGCCAAGCACCAAGCTGGAAGGCCTCGAACATTCCTTCACTCAAACAGCAACTTTTCTACTTCTTTCAATCTGCTGCTCACAATTCTTCAATATTAGGGATATCAAATGCAGACTGACTGATCAATTTGCTGATTGTCTGCAAGCACAACCCTGACCTTTCGGTCACTTGTATTCTTAATTCTCCGCCGTATTCCCACTCTGGGCTTGACCTCCAATGTTGTCTGAGGGACATCACCTCATCTTCAGTCTAACCACTGTTGAGTCTTCAAAACTCAAGAGTTTAACAATTTCAACTAATAATCATTACTTTAAATTTTCTGGTGCGCACAATAGTTCTGTTTTTACAGCTCCTCTTGTATCAGTCTTTTATTTCTTTACTTACCCCTTCATGGCTTTGGTCACTTAATCACTGCTGCCTTCCACAGTACCTTCCTTTTTGTTCTTTGCCCCCCAACCTCTTTCCATGCAAATAATTCATTTGAAATTTGACTCAGTTTTGATAGTCTTAAAGCTGGAACATTGCCTGTTTCATCCTCCGTGGATGTTGCTTAATTTAGTAATATTTCCAGCATACATAGTATTTTTCCTGTTCTTCATAGTTTTAATTTGCAGAGGTTTCTATAGGTTCTAGTACCTACGTTCTATTACTAATTAGAGCTATATCACACCTTTTACATAAAACTGAAGATGCTGTGCAACAGTTAGCAATTAAACATTTACTGTTCAAGCAGGTATAACCTACCTGGATTTTTGGTCGAACAGACTGCAAAGACTGGACCAGAGGGACACCATATGCTAATGTTTTGCCTGAATATAAACAACAAAATGAGATTGGGCAAGTAACAATCTGTTTTCCCCTTTACAATAATCAGCTGCCGTTACGCACTAATTAAGCAAACCTATACTATTGATTTAGATTTTTTTCAAATGAACTCATATCGCTCAATCATTTGAGAGATATGAATTCTTTTTAATTAACAGTTCTTTTTAATTAAAGAACACAGAAGGGTTATCATACTAGAGTTGCTCAATTGACATTTTTTTTGTAAATCTATGATTTTATAGTATCCCTCAACACCAAGCACTGAAGTTGTAGTAATCTGAATTAGCAGGTCATTGAATAGACTATATGACAATATCAGTTGTAATATGCTGGGGCCTTCATCACAGTAATATTAGAGTTCATACAGAGCAGAAAAAGGCTATTTGGTCCATCCAGTCTGCACCGACCCTCTGAAGAGCATCCAATCCTGGCCCACACCCCACCCGCACTTACCAAGGCTATTAGCCTGCAGATCCCTGGACACTAAGAGGCAATTTGGCACGGCCAATCCACCTAAACTGCTCATCTTTGGACTGTGGAAGGAAACCGGAGTGCCTGGAGGAAATCCACAGACACAGGAAGAACGTGCAAACTCCACACAGGCAGTCACCCAAGGCTCGAATCAAACCTGGGATCCTGGTGCTATGAGGCACCAGCGCTAACCACTGTGCCATTGGGCTGCCCTTTATGTACAGTTCCCTTAATCAGGTGTAAAATTATGCCACGTTCTCGACTTATTGCTTCCTTAGAAGCATGCATCCTCGTTTTAAAGTTCAAGATCACCATTTTGACTGGGACAACACCAGAATCCTGGGACAAGCTAGGCAGAGACAGGCACGAGAATTCCTAGAAGCCTGGCACTCCACGAAGCATGCTATTAATAAACACATTGAACTCGACCCCATATACACTCCACTACGAAGGATAACCGGAAGTGAGGCAATCCAGCTCAACGGACTCCAGAGTTTAAAAACCAGGGGGGAAAACACACCAATGTTTCATCGGAGGCTGCACTGAGGATGTCACCCAGCAGGGTAACGAAACGTCTGCGAAACAAGAAACCAGCTCGGCGAGCCAACCAACCTCAACAGTCATTATTATTGTTCTAGAAACAAAATAACCTGGTATTCAATGAAAGAAATGTGTACTAAAAGAAGTGTATTTGCATACGAAACATGATTTGAATTCAATGTTAGTTTTGATAGACAAATGGAACAATAACACAGAGAAACAAAATCTCAAAATCTTAGTGAATAGTAACAGCCAATGAAGGGATAATTCTCAGCTCTTGTACAGCATTTATATTGTCTCTGTGAAGAATGATGATCTATCTCCCTTCTGACTTAGTCACAGGATTTTACAATACAGAAGGTCAGTTGGCCCATTGTGCACACACCAGCTCCTGAAACAGTCACCCAGCTACGTTCTCCAGCCCTTTCTCTGTAGCCCTCTAAATTCACCACTTTCAAATATAAATCCAGCTCTCTTGTGAAATCTTCTATGGAATTCATTTGCACCACTCTCCCAGGCAGTGCATTCCAAATCCCAACACCTCTCGGAGTAAAGGAGTTTCTCCTTATCTCACTCCTAGCTCTTTTGCTGACAATCTTGAAATTGTGTAGCTTAATTAGTGACATACCAATTAGTGGAAACAGAATATCTTTTTTAACCCCGTCAAAATTGTTCACAATTTGAACACCATAATAAGGTCACCTCTTAATCTTCTCTGCTCTAGGCAACTGTGTGGAGTTTGCACGTTTTCTCCGTGTCTCTATGGATTTCCTCCTACAGTCCAAAGATGTGTAGGTTTGGTGGATTGGCCATGGGAAATGCAGGGTTACGGGCATAGGGTGGAGGTTTAGGTCTGGATAGGACGCTCTTTGGAGGGTCAGTGTGGAGTCAACAGGTTGAATAGCCTGCTTCCACACTGTGGGGTTCTGTGATTCCTTGCTTTTATACTCTATGCCTGTTTATAAATCCAAGGATCCGAAAAACCTTCTTAACAATTGTTTCAATTGCCCGGCCGCTTTCACACAATTGTGTATGGAAACCCCAAGGTCCCTCTGCTCCTATACTCCCATTGAAGATTGTACCATTGAGCCCATTTTATCTCTCACCCATGTTTCATCCACTAAAATGCATTATCTGATGGTGTTCTGCATTGAAATTCACCTGCCAGGTGTCTGCAGATTTGACTAAATTTTCAACGTCCTTCTAAATCTGTTCCGCATCATCCTCACAATTCACTATTCTCCCTAAGTATCATCTGCAAATTTACAGAGATTTTGCCCTCAATACCATCTCCAACTTATTGACTTTTTTTTTTAAATTCTACTGTTTCGAAATTGATTTTTATATACATAAAATAGTTAAACAAAAGATATAGACCAAGTACCTGAGCCTGTTTGTGATTGTACCAGAGCATCCTTTCCATCAAGTAAAACTGGAATTGTTTGCTTCTGAACGCTTCGGGAAAAGATTATGAAGGATTATTACTTTTAATATCAAACTCACAGAGCACTCTCTTAGTAATTAATGTACAACTACAGTCATCAGTTCAGGTCATAACCCCAGATCACCTGTGGACATACTGAACTTCTAATTACAATGTGTGCTTTTAAAAAACAAAACAAAATAAAGCCAGAAGATGACTGCAGATGCAAATTCAATGGTTGTCTGCAGAGGAATTCTGGAAAGTCACACCTGAACAGAGTCTGGGAAATGTCAAATGAAGAGACTTGGAAAAAAAAAGAGACAACGAGAGGCTGACTAGTGGTGACCTTATACAGGTTTACAAAATCATGAGGGGCAAAGATAAGTTGAATAGCAAAGGTCTTTTCCCTAGAGTGGGTGAATTCAAAACTAGGGAGCATATTTTTAAGGCGAGAGGAGAAAGATTTAAAAGGACCAGAGGAGCAACTTTTTCCACATACAGGGTGGTTCATGTGTGGAATGAACTGCCAAATGAAGTGGTAGATGCAAGTACAGGTTACAACATTTGAAAGACATTTGGATAGTTACATGAGTAGGAAAGGTTTAGAGTGATATGGGACAAATGTAGACAAGTGGGACTAGTTTAGTTTGGGAAACTTGGTCAGTATGGATGAGTTGGACTGAAGGGTCTGTTTCCATGCTGTATAAGTCTATGACTCTATCCAATCCCCTTTAAGTAGGATGTCATCACCTGCAGCAGGCTTGTATATCCCTGGTAGGGTAAAACACAAACAGATTGGGCTAGAAATGATATTCATCCCTATTCTGTGCAGACTATTGTGCTATGAGATTACATTGAGAACAGACTTTAAACAACCCTGCACAGGTAACAAAGGTAAAAGACATTCTCTCTGAATGCTACCAACCAGCCACACTCGAAAGGAATCAGGACAAAAAGAATTTCAATCAACCTGCAAAGCCAGGAATGTTGGAAGTGGCTGTTCAACTACCAACATCTAGGCTTCTGGTGACACCTACAGTTATAGCTACAACGACCTACTATCCAGTCTTCCTAATCTGTGTTTCTATACGATTTCTTCTTGCGGTTAGCAATTGATAAACTCAGTCTTGTAATTCCAGAAAACTTTGTTAAAATATTTCATTTTAAAATACAAATTTCTTTTGTCTGGGAGAAAGATATCTACAAGGGAAGGGATCCTTTTCAAATTAATCTTGTTGCAACAACTGAGGATTGGCAAATAAAGAAAATGTGCCAGTTCATTTCTCATTGCTTGAGATCTTAGTGAATGATTTGAGGTATCCCATTTAGTAGCATTAAAAAAAATTGGGGAAATGTTACCCAGGGGCTGGTCACAACACAATTTTTAAAAATTAAACTGAAATCCGTAAGTAATTTTTTCAATGCCTCCATATACCCAAGTTTATCCAATACCAATCTCTCAATCTCGGAAAAAATAATATTGGATTCTTTAAAATTAGCTTTCAGAAACCAACACAAAAGCTGATTTTGTTGAATTGATACAGACAAATGAAGTGCACGCTGTATCAGTTGAACACTTTTAAAAATCTCCATTGCTATAAAATCTTTAAATAATAACCACAGTTAAAAAAGAATGTTACCAACAAAAAACTAAAGATTCTGCGCCTTACCTGGTCATGTTGGAGAGCTTGAGGACATTGTTGAGTGTAGAGACCTGAGTGATAAGACAGAAAAGGAACCTTTAACCAAACATGATGATGAATTTTGCAGTTAATCTAAATTGAAATAATCTTAAATCCCTCACTCCTCAAAATGCCAGGCAAACTAATTATGGTTCATCACTAAATGCAAGGCCTTTAAATACAGATCCAATTATTGTAATTTGGGGATCCCAACGCTTCTTGTTAATAATACAGAAAAATTCAAGCATCAGTTTGAAAACAGTCCAGAGGCCAGAGATTAATAACAGACCAGCTGCTTACCTTCCACATCAAATATACTAAAACTGATCTGGGATAAGACTGATATTGAGTTAACTTGTCCATTTCAATTCATGTTTTGCACCCTACTATTTTCTGCTATAAAAATAGAAATTAAACCTCAAAGTCAGAATTATAGTTGCCAGCATAAGTCCAGTACAAAATTATTAAGTACTAATACAGATAACAAACAGTGCAACTTTAGCCCATTACTTCTTTAAATCCCAAGATTATGTAACCAAGGACAGATAAACCCTCTACTGACCAGGTGTGGATGGAGATTAAGCTCATTGAAAGAGTTAGTTGTAAAAACCTCTTCCTTCAACGTTTTTACTGTCTGTCTGAAAATAAAAATCAGAACAATGAGAATATTAGAAAACTGTAAAGGTACAAATATTCCCACAGTAATTGTGGAAAACAAATGATTCCCTAATGTCTGGCTTTAAATGAGGGTTCAAATTTATGTTCTTATAAAATATGCCTTCAGAATGCCTAACTAAACAATCAAGAATCATGTACTGGAACTAGTATTCAGAAGTAAATGAATCACTTCTTTTGAATTTCAGATAATATTTTAAACACTTATTAAAATTTATTTTGCCGTATACGTATTTTGCACTCTTTTTGTTTCCAATTCTCTCTCTCACTATCACATTTCTATTCCATTCACTGCACCATCTTCTCTGTTACAGAGAATTAACAGGGTTAGGTAGGAAACCTGAAAATATAAGTAAATCAAGCTTTTGCCTTCTTTTCTGACTGTGCTACCTCATTTTGCGGCATTTTTCCAGGGTGCCTGTAGCCCTCTGGTATTGTTCAATGGCTTGTCATCATGAGGGCTATATGAACATTTGCTGATCCAGTGAAAAGCAACCAGATCAGGAATCACAGTCTCGCATAACCTTGTCCTGACAAAGTTGCCATTCCCACTCCCACATCTATCCTTTCCAGAAGAAAGTAATTTTGCACGGAAAATGCATAAAAACACATCACTTTATGCTGAGTTCCTACCTGGGTATCTCTGGTATGTCAGGGTTGTTCCTAAACAAAGAGGAGGTTTTCACAGGAGCCGCTTCTTTTATCTCCACTTTATCCACTGGACCTTCTTTAATCTTTCTCCTCTTTGGAGCCAGGTTGGGTAATTGCTCACACTGAGGTAGTTTCTCAATGCTCGTGTATTTTCTTTTTGTAACTGGAACTTTTTGATTTGGACTCTTAGGTGAAGAAGAGTCACTTCTAGAGTTCTGCTGTATCTGACATTTCCTGCCAATAGGCTGTGTCTGTCTCTGAAAATAATTGTGAAGCCATTTAAGCTTAGAGATAAAATGCACTGAGAAAAGATAAAGCTTTGCATTTTCACATGATCAGCGTATTTTGATCCCTTCCAGAAACCATGTGGGTTGACAGGAAGTTAAAAAGTCGAAGCTTGTGACAGCAACAACTCTTTATTGGTTCAGGTGTTACCATGTGTTACAAATACAAAGTTTATAAATCAAAACTAAAACAGACCAATTTTAATTTATGGTACAACGAAGGCTTGAACGGGGTTATGAAACCTCTTCTGAATGCTCCGGTTGTTTTACTGCAAAATAAAAATTGCAAGATTTTCATAACTGTAGACAGCGGCAAGTCCATCAGTGAAGACTATGAGTAAACTGTTAATTTCCAAGTCCCAGAAGATGCTAGGAATGTTATAACACCTGAGGATGCCTAACCTGAAGAAGTTACCCTCCTCCCTCCGGACAAACCTCAAGGGATCTCCCTATTTATTTCAAAGCCCCCTTCCCCTCCCCCTTTTCTGATGAAGGGTCTAGGCCCGAAACGTCAGCCTCTCTGCTCCTATGATGCTGCTTGGCCTGCTGCGTTCATCCAGCCCTGCACCTTGTTGTCTCGGATTCTCCAGCATCTGCAGTTCCTACTATCTATGTTTTAAACTGTTTATTTATTTCCAAAATTCAATTGATTTGGGGTGTCTAGATAATAATGTGTGCAAATGAGTGAATGAGAAAGAAAAGCAATGGGTGGGAACATGCAGTCAGATTGAAAAGACCCAATTTCATGAGGATTCAAACAGGACTGGAAAATTCAGTTAATGGAAAATTCAGTTAACTTTGGCCAGAGGGAAGAATTTCCAAGGTAATTTTCATGGTGAAAGAGAGTTAGTGGATTAGAAATTATCCATCTGGAAAAGCAAGCCACAGGTGCTTAGAAGCCCACACCAGGATGGTCTCAGGGCTCTCTGCTTCTTCCTGGAACAAAGGCCTGAACTGTCCCCATCCATGACTAGCCTACTCCGCTTGGCCGAGCTCGTCCTCACCCTGAACAACTTTTCTTGTAATTCCTCTCATTTTCTCAGAGGGGTGGCCGTGGGTACCCACATAGGCCCCAGTTATGCCTGTCTCTTCTTGGGGTACACGAACATTCCTTGTTCCAGTTCTATTCCAGCCCCCACCCACCATTCTTTCTCTGGTATACCAATGATATCATTGGCGCCGCTTCTCTCTGTCATCGAGAATTGGAAATGTTTGTTGATTTCACTTCCAATTTCTATGCAACTCTCACCTTCACCTGGTCCATCTCTGACTATTCCCTTCCCTTCCTCAACATCTCTGTTTTCATTTCTGGGGATAGGCTGGCCACCATTATCCACTGTAAACCCACGAACTCCCATGGTTACCTTGACTATGCATCCTCACTCGCAGCTTACTGTAAAGACTCTATTCCGTTCTCCCAGTTCCTCTGTCTCCATCGCATCTGTTCCAGTGATGCCAACTTTGATAAGGGAGCCTCTGAAATGTCTACCTTCTCTCTCCCCTTCAGAAGGCATTAACAAGATCACTTTTGTGGATTCAAGTCAACTTCAAGCTGCATGTAGTTTGGATGATTCCTTTTCTTAGAGGACGATGATGATGAATGAACATTTATGGTTTTTATGATAATCTTGCAACATTCATGGTTGTAAGCCTATAAATATGCTGATTTATTGAATTTAGTTTCACAATTGCACAAAATGAGATTTGAAGTCTTAGATTCATACAGCACAGAAAAGGCCCTTCAGTCTCTCGCTCGTGCGGGTGCACGCATTCTCTCTCTTTTCCACACCTCCCCCACCCCCCGGTCATTCGCTCGCGCGGGCACACGCACTTTTTCTCTTTCTCTCCCCACCCCGTCACTCACTCGGGTGAGTGCATGCACCCAACTCCCTTTCTTTCTCTCTCCCCCCGTCACTCACTTGTCCTCCCTCTCTCTCTCACACACAACATTTATTTTGTTTTGTTCAAAAAGCACAAAATTTATAGACAGTCAATATGGCATTTTATAAATTCCTCCTTTTGAAAACAACCAGTCTGACTCCAAACTAAAACACATACAGATTCTAAACAAGGTCTCACACCAAACATGCACTGTCTGACCTAAAATGTCACCTTTTCTTAACACTGATAAAACCTTTAGTTCTCTCAGGACCATGACTTGAAAGGAATTTGGGGACTTACATATTAATCAATTAAAACCTTCTAACTGATTAAAGATTTAACAGTATCTTAGATTTGTTTAGTACATCCTCATCAATTGTGTGAGCCTTTGATCTTTTACTTATAAATTCTGTGTCTGATACTACCTCTCTCACTAACACCTGAAGGAGGACGGAGGCTCCGAAAGCTGGTGTTTTCAAATAAATCTGTTGGACTATAACCTGGTGTTGTGTGATTTCTGACTTCTTCCTCAAGAAGGATTCCCCAGCACTGTTGTTGACAGGGCCCTCAACCAGGTCCGACCCATCTCGCGTACATTAGCCCTCACTCCCTCTCTTCCCTCCCGGAACTGGAACTAGAACAGGAACAGCAACAGGGGCCCCAGTCCTCACCTACCATCCCACCAGCCCACCAGCCATCTATCTTTGCCCAAAGTATCAACCTGTTTAATAGCTTTCCCAATCAAAAGTGATACATTTGACACTATCAAAAATGCAATTAATTCCCATTTTAGATGCCCTGGGAAGGTGCTATGAACATTTACTTTCATTTCCTGCTACATCAAACTGAGAAAATGGTATAAAGTTACTGCACTTCAGAAGGCATTAACAAGATCACTTTTGTGGATTCAAGTCAACTTCAAGCTGCACGTAGTTTGGATGATTCCTTTTCTTAGAGGACGATGACGATGAATGAACATTTATGGTTTTTATGATAATCTTGCAACTTTCATGGTTGTAAGCCTATAAATATGCTGATTTATTGAATTTAGTTTCACAATTGCACAAAATGAAATTTGAAGTCTTAGATTCATACAGCACAGAAAAGGCCCTTCAGTCCATCGAGTCTGCACTGACATAACTACCACTAAAGGCATGCTAATCCCAATTTCCTGCACTTGTCCCATATCCTGAATGTTATAACATCTGAAGTGCTCATCCAAATATTTTTCTTTAAAAGGTTGTAAGGTTTCCAGCCTCTACTCCTTCCCAGACAGTGCATTTCAGATTCCCACCAGCAGCTGAGTGAATGTTTTTTCCCAAATTCCCTCGGAATCTCCCGTCCTCTTACCTTAAAACTATGCTCTCTGATTGACCCCTCAACCAAGGGGAACAGCTGATCTCTATTCACTCTGTTCATACTCCTCAATCTTATACACCTCAATCATGCCTCCCCACTCAGTCTTCTCTGCTCTAAAGAAAACAATCCAAGCCTATCTAGTCTCTCCCTGTGCTCAATTTCTCCATCCCAGGCAACATCCTGGTGAACCTTCTCTGTACACCCGCCAGTGCTATTATATCCTTCCTGAGGTGACCAGAACCGCAAACAGTTCTCCAGCTGTGGCCTGACCAATGCTCTTTACATCATCAACATTACCTCCTTGCTCTTATACTCTACGCCACAACTGATTAAAGCAAGTGTCCCATATGCCTTCTTAATTATCCTAATCATGTGCTCTGCTGATTTCAGGAATCTGTGATTAATTACCCCAAGATCCCTCTGCTCCTCGATGTTCCCCAGCGTCCTGCTATTCATTAAATACTCCCTAATCTTGTTTCTTCTTTCAAAGTGCATTATGTAGAACATAGAACATTGAACATTACAGCGCAGTACAGGCCCTTCGGCCCGCGATGTTGCGCCGACCTGTGAAACCAATCTGAAGCCCATCTAACCTAAACTATTCCATTATCATCCATATGCTTATCCAATGACCATTTAAATGCCCTTAAAGTTGGCGAGTCTACTATTTTTGCACGCAGGGCATTCCACGCCCTTACTACTACTCTCTTACCTCACACTTATCAGGGTTAAATACCATTTGCCCATTTGACCAACCCATCTATATCTTCCTAAAACCTACAACCATCTTCTTCACTACTAACAACTCTACCAATCTTGGTATTGTCTGCAAATTTGCTTAACATTCCCTCCACATTTTCATCTATATCATTTACGTATAGGACTAACAGCAAGTGTCCCAGTACTGATCCTTGTGGTACACTGCTGTACACCATGCTCTTGTCACTCAAACAGCCTTCTACGACTACCCTTCTGTGTCCTATTACTAAGCCAGTTTCCGATCCATCACGCCAAGTTTCCCTCAATTCCATGTGCTTTAGCCTTCTCAATCAGTCTCCTATGTGGAACCTTGTCAAAAAGCTTTGCTAAATTCCATATAAACTACATCAACTGAACTTTCCTCACCAAATATTTGATCATATTTTCAAAAAGTTTCCAACAAATTTGTTAGGCATGACCTCCCTCTGACAAAGTTATGCTGACTATCCTTAATTAACCCATGCCTTTCCAAGTGGGTATTAATTTGCTCCTTCAGAAATTTCTCCAGTAGTTTCCCTCCCACTGACATGAGATTTAGGGGCGACACAGTGGCTCAGTGGTTAGCACTGCAGCCTCAGGGACACGGGTTCGATTCCAGCCTCGGGCGACTGTTTGTGTGGAGTTTGCACATTCTCCCCGTGTCTGCGTGGGTTTCCTCCGGGTGCTCCAGTTTCCTCCCACAGTCCAAAGATGTGCAGGCTAGGAGGACTGGCCATGCTAAATTGCCCGTAGTGTTCAGGGGTGTGTGGGTTATAGGGGGATGGGTCTGGGTGGGATGCTTCGAGGGTCGGTGTAGACTTGTTGGGCCGAAGGGCCTGTTTCCACACTGTAGGATTCTATGATTCACTGATCTGAGAGATTCCTGGTTCATCTCTACCACCCCTCTTGAAAAAGTGGAACCACATTAGCCATCTTCCTGTTAAGCATTTCCCTGTGGCCAGAGAGGAATTAAAAATTGGTATCAGAGACCTTGCAAATTCCTACCTCTCACAGCAGCCTGGGATGCAATTCATCTGAGCCGGAGGATTTGTCCATTTTTAAGCCCAACAGATCCTCCAATACCTCCCCATTTCCTATGTCAATCTGTGCAAGTTCTTCTCAGTCCCTTTTCCTGAATTTCATACCTACATTCTCCTTTGCCAGAGAGGAGACCAAAGAGAATTTTTCATTTCACCGTTCCAATATCCATGGCTTTACACACAAGGTTGTCCCTTTGGTCCGTACTCTTTCCCTGGTTAACCTTTTCCCTTTGATGTATTTATAAAGCATTTTAGGATTCTCCTCAAATTCTGTTCACAAGTCCTCTTTCATGGCCCCTTTTTGCTCTTCTAATTGCTTTCTTAAGTTCTCCCCTGCACTTCTTGGATTCCTCCAAGACCACAGCTGAATTGCTCCCTTTGGACTTGCTAAAAACCCTTTCCTTCCTTATCCAGTCCTGAATTGTCCTCGACATCCCAGGTTCTCTGAACTTATTACTTCTACATTTCCCTCTAAATGATGCCTGTTCGACCTATGCTCTCTCCAGCTCCTTTTTGAATGACCTCACTGCTCTGCTGTAGACTTACCCATAGGGAGCTGTTCTCAGTCAGCTGTGGCCAGATCCTGCTCTATTTTAATAAAGTCTGCCTTACCCCAATCAAAAGCCATCTTTTGCAGGCCATCACTTTCCTTGTCTAGAACAAATTTGAACCATACCATGTTGTGGTCGTATTGCTAAAATGCTCCCCCACTGCCACATCGACCACTTATGCGGCTTCTTTCCCCAGAAGCAGATCCAGCACTGTGCTGTCCCTCGTTGGGCCTTCTTCATATTGATACAAAAAGCATCCCGATACATTTCAAGAAATCCGCCCTCTCTAAATCTTTAGCACTATGCTGGGAGAGTTGAAATGCCCTAGTATAAATACCCAATTATTATTCTGACACAACTCTGTGAACCTACATATTTGCTCCTCTATTTCCTGCTGAATAATTGTGAGTGTATAATACAGTCTCAGTAAAGTGGATGCCCCCTTAACATTCCTAAGTTCTACCTACAAAGCCTCGTTTGAGGACCCTTCTAAGATATCATCTCTCTTTATTGCGGTAATTAACTCCTTAATTAATATAGTGCTATCCCACCACCCTTTTTACACCCTCCTCTGTCTCGCTCAAGGACCCTATACCCAGGAATGTTGAGGTAATTGAATGTTTATATCTTAAATCATAACAACTACAAACCACACCAAACTTCTCAAACAGTAATTAAGAGATTGTTCTCTGCTCTCTTCTCCCCAAATACCATAACTACCAAATGAGTGGTCCTTTTGCATTTTTACACAAAGCAGTACAGAATGTATTCTACATAATTGGTTCAGAGGCACACCAATGAGTGACAATATCACAATTATCATTTCAGATCCCCAGTCATTAAAAAGTTAAGCTTGGTGTTCATTGCTCCATTTGCTATCTTTCTTTTACATAAATTAAGAGGGTTTTTTTCTAATATTTGGACAAACATTAACTTGTGCTAATGAAAAGCAAATTGTAACATCAGTAATTTTGAAAAACATCTGTATTAAAGTAAGTAGCTGGCTGATAAATTTAATTTCCCCATTTGTGCACAAGCAATGTAATGCTCATTCCCACTCAGTCAGAAAGACTGCTAATAATTTAAATGTAGAAATCTACAAAACGCTTTTGTATGCATCTAAGTGGCTCCTACTAACCAAACAATATTAGACTAAATGCTAAGTATTTATCATCTAAGCATAAGTAAAATGGATTATTTGGTGATTTATCCTTGCTGAGCACAAATTAGTTGTCATTTCCTCCACATTATGACTGTAACTCCACTTTAGAAATTTAATTGGTCATAAGGCATTTGCCATGTTCTTTGATCATGGGAAGTCATATTTAAATGCAAGTTCTTTCATTATAACTTCTAACTTACATCAGTGACTTGGATACTGAAACCCAATGAAATTGAAAGTGAGGAGCCTCAGTCACCACAATATGTTCGTACAACGTACAGCTACGATCGACAACGCCAACACTTGTCTACTGAGCCAAAACAATGGAAGAGGAGGAGAGGAAGGAGACGAAGGAGACTGCTCAGGTCACACAAAACCTCAAACAAAGCACTCCAACCTTGTACCTGAGAGACACATCTTTTTAAAAAAAAGACAAAACAGTACAGAATATGCTCTACATTGTTGATTCAAATGCAAACCAATGAGTTCCAATGTTGTAATTATCATTTCATATTGACACTGGGCTAGTGTCGAGGAGAGCCACCACAGCTGTACTTCCCAAATCATGTTTGGCATCTGAAAGGCTGAGTTATGAAGAAAATCGGGAAAGATGTGGGCTACTCAGCTAGAAAGGAGGCCTAGTCATGCAGAAAGATTTCTTAAGAAATGTTATGGCTGCAGGTCAGCCCATTCACCAAGTACATCACAAGTGGAAAATGTTATAACCAGCTTAAAATATAGAAGCAAATGAGTTATGAACTCAAACTAATAAGTGGGCAAAGTTTAACAATATCAGGACATTCTTCACAAAGCAGGCGTTTAACCATCGGAAGGGACTTCCAACCAAAATAAAGTATTAAAGTAGCAGAAGCAAAATCAGTTTAGAATAAAAAAGATGTAGCAACAACAGGAGTTTCCGGATGTACTTGGTGAATGGGCTAATTTTCATTGATAAATATGGTAAAAAAGCATAAAATGCTATCACATAGCTGTCTGTTACCAAAAACAAACATCCAAGTCAGACACGATACCTTCTTGCGATCAACAGATTCGTTCGTTACGAATAAAGTACTCTTCACTTCAACTTTCCGCTGTAGTTCACAACGGCCAACCTCACCACTTACAGAAATCGCTGGAAGAAGATCTCAGAACATCTGAAGACGGGTCACTGGACTCAAAAAGTTAACTCTGTTTTATCTCCATCCACAGATGCTGCCAGACCTGCTCTCCACCAATTTCTTTTTGTTTCTGATTTCCAGCATCTGCGGTTGTTCGAGGTTTTTATTTCCCCTCACCATCCCTTACTTGGATCAATATCAATCCTTAACATTGACAAAGTGCTCAGTCAATGCTCTGCATAATTCACATGGAAAAGCACCTTACCCGACTTTCCGCATCTCTCGAGCCCTTGCGCTGATAAACCTTCTTCCTTCGACTGAGAAATGGGGCTCCGGGGTCATTAATAACATTTAACATTAATCCACCATCTTCGGCCATGTCTGGAATTAAGTTTAAAAACAACCCAAATTAAAGTTTGAACGCCGACTGCTGACAAACTCCAGGAGCTCCAACTTCCACAGAGACTACACGTGAGGAGCCGGGCTTTACCACCAAACGGCCGCCTAAAAACGGGTTTAAAAATGACTGTAAACCGACAGCCTCTTTTACTCCTAATAATTACATGGAAGCTTTATTCTTCGAATCAGATTGACTATAAAGTAATAAACTCCTATCTAACAAAAAAGTGGACAAAGGGGCTCTCTCCTTCCGATTATTTTCAGTAAATTCTAAGAGTGTTTCCTCACAGACATATCGGCCTTTCCAGCCGAAATATTTAAAATTCTAATTGGTCAGTAGTATCAGGCAATATGGTCAGGCAGCCCGGTTACTAAGGGAAGATTTTGAGGCGGGGGGACTTTTCGTTGTCGACGGTCGCGATGTTACAGTGTCATTTCCGGAAGCCGCGGGTTTGGGGGTGGGGCTTGGGTAAGATGGCGGCGTTGTCTGCGGCCTCCGCGAAGAGGAAGAGCGCCGGCAGTCCGGCCGGCGGTAGGGCGGTTCTGACAAGCAAGCGGGAGCCCAGTATTAAGCTGCAGTACCCGGTGAGCGGGCCCGAGCCGCTCAGTTGGTCTGAGGACAACCGGCTTTCCATCACCACCGGCAAAAACATCTACGTCCTGGAGCAGATCTGCGACATCCACAACAACGGGCTGGACATGGTGATCCACAGGACCTCGGTCCCAGCACCCAGTCAGAGCTGCTCCCTCAAGGTAAATCCCTCCGTGACATACGAACAAATCAGTAACACCCGACAAGCTCTCTGGATTCCCGTGTAGATAAGTTAATGCATCCCCTGTCAGATGCACCACTTGATCATCCTGTTCTTTTTTTTTAGGAAAAGCTCCTGAAAAGCATTTTTAAGACTGACAATTTTCCAAGCTCATCGAACTTGTGCACTGATTTGAAATGTGATAGACCCCAGATTTTGGACTGCTAGTTGAATTCCTACAGGACAATGAGAAAACGATTGGGTCTAGGCCCGAAACGTCAGCCTTCCTGCTCCTATGATGGTGCTTGGCCTGCTGTGTTCATCCAGCTCTACGCCTTGTTGTCTGAGAAAATTGAATGGTGTTTGAGTGGCAGTTGTCAAAAATTGCCTCAGCTTTGTTTTTTATTTGAATTTTGTTTCAAAGAGCTGTGCGGTTACAGAGTGCTATCACAAGTTTGAATACTTTCATGACACAGTTAGCAGTACATTGACAAAACTTGTTTTTTTTGCCAGAGGTTAGTGGCTAGTCCAAGAATACTTTATTTCCACTGTACTTGCTTTGCCGAACTAGATGCAGGAAAGATATTTTTTATGGTTATGCCTCTCTTTGACTACCTGTATGCTATAACCAGATGCCAGAACAGTGTGAATTAATCCTATCGATTTTTCATTGTTATTAGTTGGAGGAAAGGGTCTTGATTTCGAATGACTGTAAATAGATATCTATCTTAAGATTTCAGATCACACCAAACTGGGCACCATATCTTCTAAAGGAGACATTGGACTTAAAAGGACTGAAGTGCAGGTTCACCAGAATGTTATTAGTTCTCCAAGGATTGAATTATAACATGAAGTTACATGACCAGGCTCCCGTTCTCTCTAATAGGGTAAGGGGTGATTGAAGTTTTAGGATTTTGAAAGGGATTAATCAGGTAAATGGCAACAAACATTTCTCATTAACAAGAGAATCTTAATACAAAGGGACATCACCTTAAAAATCAGAACCAGGTCATTCAAACAGCAGGTTTAACATTTCTGGCAATGGGTGGTAGAAGCATGAGAGACACTGTAACAAATATCAGATGCCCATTCAATTAGTCACTTTAAGTCTGATCTTTAGTTTTGCTAACTGAGGGATGTGGATCAAAACATCTGAATGGAATTAGAATGCCAATCAATGATCTTGTTGAAATGTGAAATGTATGGTCTATTGCTGTTCATATAATAACGTTATGGTGATATATATTGGAGATGTAATTTGCAGTATACATGTAAGATTTTACTTATGACTTCTTTTTGTTGTTTGGAGTCATTCAGCAGGGCTAGGTTCATCTGTACAGACACTAGACTGGATTTCCTGACAGGCAGAAACCTAAAACTTACACCTCTAGCATTTCCATCCCAGCCAAGTTTCTGTAGATTTCAGTCTCCTGTCATTTATGGTTCACCTTAATACTTCTAGCTTTGTGTTCCATCCCCAAGTCTCCAACATAGGTTCACTGTTTGCTGTCTGCTCCACTGTCAAATGTTATTTTTTTAAGACACTATCTCGTTACAGTTCTACTTTCTTTCAAAATGTCCTAAGAACTGAGGAGTGGCAGATGGAGTTTAATTTAGATAAATGTGATGTGCTGCATTTTGGAAAGGCAAATCAGGGCAGGGCTGATATACTTAATGGTAATGTCCAGGGGTGTGTTGCTGAACAAAGAGACCTTGGAGTTCATGTTCATAGTTCCTTGAAAGTAGAGTTGCAAGTAGATAGTACAGTGAAGAAGGTGTTTGGTATGCTTGCCTTTATTGGTCAGTGTTCGTAGGAGAGTATAGGAGTTGGGAGGTCATGTTGCGGCTGTACATGACGTTAGTTAGACCGCTATTGGAATACAGCATGCAGTTCTAGTCTGATGCTATGGGCAGGATGTTATGAAACTTGAAAGGGTTCAGAAAAGATTTACAAGGATGTTGCCAAAGTTTGAGGGTTTGAGTGATAGGGAGAGGCTGAATAGACTAGGGCTATTCTCCCTGGAGTGTTGGAGGCTGAGGGGTGACCTTATAGAGGCTTATGAAATCATGAGGGGCATGGATAGGGTAAATAGATAAGCACATTTCCCAGGGGTGGAGGAGTCAAAAACTAGAGGGCATAGGTTTAAGGTGAGAGGGGCAAGACTTAAAAGGGACCTAAGGGGCAACTTTTTCACGCAGAGGGTGGTGCATGTATGGAATGAGCTGCCAGAGGAAGTGGTGGAAGCTGGTACAATTGCAATATTTAAAAGGCATCTGGATGGGCATATGAATAGGAAGGATTAAGAGGGATATGGGCCAACTGCTGGCAAATGGGACTAGTTTAATTTAGGATATCTGGTTAGCATGGACGAGTTGGATCAAAGGGTCTATTTCAATGCTGTATATCTTTATGACTCTATAACCTAACACTTTAACTCTTTTCCAAGCCCTTTCCTCACACCTTTATTTTGTCCAGTCTCCTGTTTGGTATTATCCTCTTCTCTTTGAGAGGTGCAATTTATTAAACTCAATATTATCATTTCCAAACTGAAGTTCACATAGGTTTTACTTTAATAAGGGAAAACATTTCCATTGCAACACTTCAATGAACAAGCCCCAAAAGGAACTTGAGACTTGAATCTCTGATATTTTTCAACTCCTAATTATCTCGTGTTAAGATTTGGCAGTAACAATAGACTCATAAATTATGCTTATTTTCATGTGATCTCTATTTTAACAAAAATAATAATTGTCGTCCAGAAAGAAAGAAAATACTAATTTTTATATTTTGTGTGTTTTAAGGTTGGCTCTCAGGCAGAAGTAAGTGGCTGCAAAGACAAGTTCCTGAGCAAAAAAGATCCAACTCTAAGTCATTCACTAATGATGGACAGGGTCTTTAATCCTGAAGGAGGTGCTTTGTCGCCATTGCGAGGGTTTAAATTTACCAGCTGGTCTCCTTTGGGTTGTGACTTCAATGGAAGATGTCTATTGGCATCTTTGACACTGGATAATAGACTGTCCATCCAGGTGAATGTGAACAGGTTGCAGTGGACACCAGCTTTGGATATTACAGAGGTATATGGTGAGATGCTGTATGAGAACAAGTACGGGAATTTGGATGCAGATCTGGGTGGGGAGTTGAAGGATTTCTCTGAATTCCAAAGGAGACATTATATGCAGGCTCCTGTGAGAATGGAATGGTCCAGTATCTGCAACACTCAACGTGTAAAAGCCAACAATGAGTGTGAAGACGTGGGCACTGTGCTGTTAGCTGTCCTGCTTGAAAACGGTGATGTTGTTATATGGCAATTTCAAATCCCATTTCATGGCAAAGATTCTATCATTGCATGCAGTACCATTGAATCAGGTATTAATGACCCAAGTGTTCTGGCATGGTGGGAATACGAACATGGTAGTCGCAAAATGAGTGGGTTGATTGTTGGCAGTTCTAAAGGACCTGTTAAGATTCTGCCAGTGAACTTGAAAGCAGTGAAAGGTTACTTCACTCTCCGACAGCCAGTAATTCTTTGGCAAGAGATGGATCAGTTACCTGTGCACAATATTAGATGTATCTCGCTCTACCATCCCTACCAGAAGTGCAGCTGCAGCTTGGTTGTGGCAGCCAGAGGAACCTATGTTTTCTGGTGCTTACTATTGATATCCAAAGCTGGACTGAATGTTCACAATTCTCATGTGACAGGCCTCCACACTCTTCCCATCGTGTCTCTGACAGCCAACAAACAAACTGCAAGTTTCTACACTTGCTCTGTTGATGGAACCATTCGAAAGCTGACTCCTCTTTTCACGGATGTAGCAGTAAAGTTTGATCATACCTTAATCAAATTACCAGAATCAATTGGCACAGTGAGACTTCATGGGATATGTCTCAGCCCGAATAATGCATACCTTGCTCTTGTGACAGCAGAAGGTATAAATAATGGCCTCCATCCAGCCAGCCGTACGTACCAGGTGCAGTTTATAACTTTAAAAACGCCAGAAGAAGCAGCTTCTAAAATTTTAGAATCTTCCATTCACAATTTGTTCAAACAAGTGGACTTACTTGACCTTGTACGCTGGCGAGTGTTGACTGAAAAACGTATTCCTCCAGAGCTGGATGAAGCTCTAGACCATAAACTCCAGACAAATCCATCTAATTACTTGTGGCGGTTAAGACTTTTTCTCTTGAAGATTCTGTTTCAGACCCTACAAAAGGCACCCACTGAAGCACTTTGGAGACCAAATCATTGTGAGTCAAAAATTTTGCTTTGTGACAACTCTGCATTGTTAAGCGAAAATAATCGACAGCCAGATGAGGCAAAGACCAGTACAGAGAGTACTGAAACAAACAGAGGGGTTGGAAGTCAAGGCGAGGATTTGACAGTGGATGCTAAAGATGGCAATACTGAAGAACAGATTCGTGAGATGATTGCTAAGAAATTGAATGCAATTCAAACTAACATTGAAGTAGTAGAACTCCACCTGACACGTGAACATATGAAACGAGTTCTGGGTGAAGTGTACCTTCACACCTGGATTACTGAGAACACCAGTGTTCCAACCAGAGGCATTTGTGACTTCTTGACCTCTG